CGCCAAGGACTTCAATTCAAAACAGTTTTCACACTGCGCTTCAAGCCTTTTTCCTGGTGAACTTGCTGCAAACGTATGAGCTCAGCTGCGCGTGTTCCCTTTGTGTGAGGCCCAGAAACAGCTACGTAGTATCTCCGTACTTCGATTGGCTGGATCGATGTCGTCCAGGTTCTCCTCGCTATCGCCATCACGACTCTTAACTGGAGACGATTTCTTCACCATTTCCCGCAAGCAGCAGCTAGCGCAGAAATTTCGCCATCCCTGAGTGTAGGAGATGGAATCCGGTCGATCAGCTCAAAAACTCTTCGTTGTGACTAGAGGAGTAGCTAGCAGGGAATATTCTACCGGAAGCCCTTTGACTTCCCTGACTGCTGAAACCCTTCCTGCCATGACCTGATGACTGCTACTTCTTCAAACAAGCGAGATTCTCTGTTCCACTTCACCATGTTCACTGCACTCGAGCGTCGACGTCCACGCGACTCAACCTTTTTTACAAAACATCCTTTTTCTCAAAAAAATGATTTTCACCCTAATAGTAATAACTTTAATAGCCTGGTTTTCGCTAAAGTAAGTAATTAGTTAGTTTAAAAAAGGGGCAAAAATTAAAATTTCACCAGTTGTAGTCTTCGGCCGGGGTGCTGAGTCGAATGGTCGTGGTCCGAGGAAGCTGAGACGCTTCCTTCCTACTTGAATCCCAATCGAACTCGCGTACTTCCACCGAAACTGGGTGACTGCGCCCTACTAGATGGGGATTTGTATGCAAAATGTCACTAAAAGTGCCATTTCGTTCTTATAAAAGCATGGATGACCGCGATTGGCCCATATGTTGTAGTCTTTTGGACGCTGAGTCGATTGGTTTTGGTCCGAAAAGGCTGCGATGCAGCGTTCCTCCTTTATTCCTAATCGAACATGGTTGAAGAAGCGGTCACGTGCTCCTGCATACACCACTGTAACACCAGTCACCTACATGTGTAGTACCTGGTCACCGTGCCTGCAGGGTACAACTTACTAGCCTGTTTGACCTTATTTGGGTGCAGTCCTGTCACTCGAGTTGAACTCGAGTTGAACCTTGGTGTGAAAGTTGTCGCCTGCTGGCGTGGTGACCAGGTGATTTGGGCATCCAAAAACACGTGACCGCTTCTTCAACCATGTTCGATTGGGAATAAAGGCGGAACGCTGCATCGCAGCCTTTTCGGACCAAAACCAGTCGACTCAGCGTCCAAAAGACTACAACATATGGGCCAATCGCGGTCATCCGTGCTTTTATAAGAACGAAATGGCGCTTTTAGTGACATTTTGCATACAAATCCCCATCTAGTACTAGTAGGGCGCAGTCACCCAGTTTCGGTGGAAGTGCGCGAGTTCGATTGGGATTCAAGTAGGAAGGGAGCGTCTCAGCTTTCTCGGACCAAGACCATTCGACTCAGCACCCCGAAGACTACAACTGGTGAAATTTTATTTTTTGCCTTAACTTCCCCTTTAATTAAGTAAGGGCCATTTGAGTATAATGCCACTTTTGCGGAAATGTAGTGTTATAATGCTAGCATAATGCTCGTTGCAAATCGCACACTATAATGCTACTTATTTATAATGCCAGCATTATCCGCCCTGGCGAAACAAGCGCGGCAGTGGTTCGTTGTTACTCAGAGTTTCATGGCAAAAACCAATCATCAGACAACATACTAAAGGAGATTAGAAAAAAGCGCAGGTATACCTCTTCTTGGTACTATGGGATTTTTTAAACTTAGATGGTCACGGTACGGAATCAAAGATGATTGAGACGAAAATATTGTGGCACATGAAGTACTAATTAGTTATACAGGGTTTATACTTTATAGTCCACCAACTATGTTTGAGCACGTGACTAACCCGCATCAGCCTTCCTTCCTTCGGGTTCATGAATTATGTAAGTGATAATGCCCAGAATTCCCCCTTTCAACAGGAATTATTACTCAAATGCATGCCCAGGACCTTTACTTCCACTGATCAGTGATGTTGGAAGGCTCTTGATCAGCGCTATCGAGCAGTGCTCAGGCTCATTACAGGTATCATGCTGTTGATTTCAGTACTCCCGCCAGTCCCGGGGAGAATTGCGCGTGTGTGTGTGTAACTGAATGCCAGTTTGCGGATGATTCCACACTGTTTGCGACATCTCGATCCGGGCTCGAGCGAGCTGCAGTGACATTCGATGAAGTCGCCTCCGAGTTTGGACTGACAGTTAGTCTCTCCAAGACCATTGAAGTTCATGGTGATCGGCAGAGACATTTCTGATGCGGACCTCGCCCCTGTTTGTGTTGGTTCGAACCAGATCGAGTGCGTAACGGAGTTTCGCTACCTTGGGTCGATCATCGATACGTCTGGCCGGTGTTCGATTGACATCTCCTCCAGAATTGCGGCTGCCTCCCGTGCGTTTGGCTCCCCTGCGGAAGCCAGTTTTCAACAACCACCATCTGTCCGTCCGCACCAAGAAGAGTATCTTCAATGCGTGCGTTGTCACCATTCTGCTGTACGGAGCTGAGTGCTGGGTACCCCTCCAAGCCGACATCCGGAGGCTCTCCACGTTCTACATGCAGTGTCTGCGTACCGTTCTTGGCATAACAAGGTTAGACGCCTGGCAAGAGCGGATCAGCAATGATCAGTTGCTGGAAATGTGGGGCGACAAGCGCCCACTTGCTGTCCGGATTCGCCAGCGACGACTTGAGTGGCTGGGTCATGTTGCTCGCATGCCACCAGAGCGCATCCCGAAGATTCTGTTGTTCGGTCTGCTCCCATCCCGCCGTCCACCTGGCGGTCCACGCAAACGCTGGAAGGACTGCATTAGTGCAGACCTGAAGGCCCTGAATGCTGTGGAGGGATGGTGCGATCTGGCAGATTCTCGCCCCGACTGGCGCCGCATGTACCGCTGTTTCGAGCCCGAACCGCCCACACCCAATGTCCATTGCCAAGTATGTGATCGGTACTTCTCTCGCCCATCAGATGAGAAGCGTCACAAATGCTTGGCAGAACGGCAGAAACCAGTGTGCAATCAGGCTGGCGCTTGCCAATGTCGTCTCTGCCAACGTTGGTTCCGCAGCCCCGGTGGATTGGCTACCCATCGGTGCGATCACGGACCTGCTCCCAACATCGAGCACCCCGGCAACCCGGTCACTCCGCAGTGCAGCACCTGCCACCGGAGTTTCAAGTCCAGCAGCGGCTTGGCCAGACACAAGTGCGACCGCACGAAACGTAGGACAGTGTCGGAAAGGGCCGACTTCCCGTTTGAGTGCCCTTGCCAAAGGAAGTTCCGACTACGTCACCATCTAGTGCGCCATCAGAAGTGCTGCTCCTCAGCCTCTTCCACCCCTCTCCCCTAACGGGGACCGTGTAACCAATCAAGGCAACGTGTATCAAGGTCAAGGTCAAGGTGTGTGTGTGTGTGTGGGCGCGCGCGGCATGCCTTCAACTTTACTTGCTAGACTGATTTTATATGATTCTGGACTGATTTGAATCATATTATCTTCCTTATTGGCCATGGGGCATCGTGGAAATAAAGAATAATAAATAAATAATAATAAGTTTCAAGATCTTGCATCTTGGATTTTTTAAACGCATAGCTTGGTCCTCTTCCAGTGCTTGAGATGGCTGCTTTGAGGATCCTGCAGATCCTGCCATGCCAGACATTCGACCATCCATGACAACGTCCATCTGTAGGGTCGAATGATTAGTACTGTTTTGCCGTGGTACTGTGTCCAACACATTGTAATGGATAGTACACCGTGAGCACCTCTCTGTGCCCATTTATGGCATTACATGAGCCATTATAGACACACAGTACCTACAGTCCATTCATCGGAAACTGGCCCGCTGGCTTTTGAAAGTCGGATTTGGGCCGAATTGAGGATCAAAAACCCACTTTAAATCTCAAAAATCTGGGTTTTGGATCTGCTTCTCCATACATTTTGCCATGGCATACCTGTCCTAATTTTGTAAAACCTGGCTGAATTTCTATTTCCCTGTTCTTGGACTTTTCTGGCCTCAAATGTGGCAAGGAGTAATTGCACGGGTCACACAATGCAGGATGTACTGTTGTTTTCAAGATATCTACAACTATGTGAGAGAGACACAAAAAAGTTAGGGTGCCAGTTTCCAATCTGTCCCCGGGGAAAATTGCGGAAAAAAATCGCAAAAAACGCGGGGAAAAACGCGGCATAATATGGCATAATTTGCGGTGAATTTGCGGTAAATATGCGGTGAATAATATTGATGTGCGGCAATTTTCAGTGAGTATGTAGTGAAATCAATCAGTTACAAGTCTCTGGTGTAAGCACTCGTTATATTTGAGTAAAAAGCCGCCACGATGAGACGTTGCTGACCGAACAGTGCACTGTGTGTACGTGTAGTGCGACAAAAAAGTTCAAAAAACGCGGGAAAATCGCGGAAAACGCGGTCTTTTAAAAAATCGCAAAAAACGCGGAAAAAAACGCGGCCGCGGAATTGCAATTTTCCCCGGGGACAGTCCAATGAATGGACTGTAGGCAAAACAGTGCACATGTTGTTCATGGCCCTCGGATGTACGTGACTGTATACTGTGTGTATGGTATACTGACATGAAGTAAGAAGTACTTGTGTTGTTACTGCGCTCAAGAACACGCTGACCGTGTTGTAGGCCTACGAACCGGGACTTTCCCTGACCATGTAGGTCGAAGACTAGTGAAATGATGATGAAATCACATTCTTTATGACGTAAGAAATACGATACCACTATTCTTCTTTCAAGTCTTGTCCAGGCCACTGCAGTACACATGCCTGCTGAGTACATACACCGGCATCGCACTGAGAGACAGCGAGCACCACTGGTACAGACCCCCGGTGATCCGTACCGTGCAGACGTTCAGACTCAGGCTCAAAGCGCAGCCGGAGCAGACGTCTACAGACTCAGTGGGCTGCTCAAAGCTCAGCCCGTGCAGCTCATGACCGTTGGGCACAGCTTCACGGCGGTCCTGGTCACGCACACAACACGGTTACAGAGCTAAACAGCCGATTCGATTATCTGCACCATTGAATGACCTAACAGTTTAAATACAGTGGCTAGCATACTACATTTTTGGAGACTTGGCATAAATTTAAAGCAGCACGTGAACTCACTGCATAGGAGACGGTGCATAGGAGACGGTGCATAGGAGACGGTGCATAGGAGACGGTGCATAGGAGACGGTGCATAGGAGACGGTGCATAGGAGACGGTGCATAGGAGACGGTGCATAGGAGACGGTGCATAGGAGACGGTGCATAGGAGACGGTGCATAGGAGACGGTGCATAGGAGACGGTGCATAGGAGACGGTGCATAGGAGACGGTGCATAGGAGACGGTGCATAGGAGACGGTGCATAGGAGACGGTGCATAGGAGACGGTGCATAGGAGACGGTGCATAGGAGACGGTGCATAGGAGACGGTGCATAGGAGACGGTGCATAGGAGACGGTGCATAGGAGACGGTGCATAGGAGACGGTGCATAGGAGACGGTGCATAGGAGACGGTGCATAGGAGACGGTGCATAGGAGACGGTGCATAGGAGACGGTGCATAGGAGACGGTGCATAGGAGACGGTGCATAGGAGACGGTGCATATGGCAGAGAAGGAAGGGCCGAGGCCCTAGATGGAACAGAAGCACTCCATTCGGAAGCCACAATTTATTTACTGACTTGAAATCGGTGCTCTGGCCTCACTATATTCAGCACATGAAACCTATCACTACAATACTATTCAAAGAAGCAACAACAAAACAAATATTGATCAGCCCTGGAAATCATGTCATTGAAGTGTTGCTGTACGACAGGACTCGAAACAAACCCAGCGCCATAGATCAGCCCTCTGGTCACATATAACAGATAGGCCAGTCTTGCGCACACAGAGTCCCCACCACCCAGCCAAGCATGCACAGACGCCAACAAGAAGCAGCTCCCGAGCAGCACACAGTCAACTCAGACATACCACCTGTCTCACAGAAGTGAACGCCAGTCATATCCAAGCCGCGCCTAGTTCCACTCGTCATCGTCCTCGTACTCGTCCGAATCTTCCGAGTCCGAGTCGCTGTGCTCGACGGCGATCCTACGAGCCAAGATGGCGGCTACGTCCTGGTTCTCCGCCGTCGCCGTCTTGCGAGTGTCCAGCGGTTCGACTGGCACGTTGCGCAGCGCCTTGCCACGGCGAATGGCCGACATGAGGTCGTTGCGCTCATCGGCGGGCTTCTCGATCGGCTTGGCGGCGCGCAGCTGCACGGAGCCGAGGCCGCTGAGCAGGCCGCCGCCGCTCTGGGACGCCGCCGCCGGTGCTCCTGCCGGCGCTCCCGCCATGCTCATCTGCATCATGGGTGGAGGACCCGGCGGTGGCGGAGCCATGATCAGCGGCGGGCCCTGCGCCGGCGGAGGTGGAACTACAAGCGGTGCCTCGACAGGCGGCGGCACGAGAACCCCAGCACCAGCGCCCGCAGCCTGCGCCTGGCGCATCTCCTGCGGTGGCGGTATCCCCCCGGTCGGTATGCCGCCGGTCATCATCATCGGTGGTGGTGGAGGTGGAACTCCGCCGACCATCATCGGAGGCGGCGGCGGTGGTGCCGCTGGCATAGGCACTCCCTGTGGTGCGCTCGGTGGCGGGCCTGGAGGTGGTGGCGGCACCCCAGCTGGAGGAGGCGGCGGCGCACCCACTGGAGGCGGAGGCGGGGCGCCCGAAGGCATGGCGGGCGGTGCATTCGGAGGGGGTCCTGGAGGTGGGCCGGGTGGCGGGCCGGGCGGTGGACCAGGCGGCGGCTGAGATGGGTACGGCACGCCGGACGTTTTCGGCGGCGATGTCGACGGCGCAAACGGCTGCTCGTCAAACTCACGTCCCTTGCCGCTCATGCCGGTGAACTTCTTGGGCCGGATAGATTCGACTTTCACTGGACCCGCGCTGGCCTGGGGTGCTCTGTGGCGCACTTTCTGTATGACACATCAACATGTGTAGCACAATACCCCCACACAGCACATGCAGACACATAGACACGCACACACGTACATTCATGTACACACACAGGCAGGCACGTACGCACGCACACACCATGCTCACACACACACACACACACACACACACACACACACACACACATACACACACACACGCACACACCATGCTCACAAACACACACACACACACACATACACACACACACATACACACACACACGCACACACCATGCTCATAAACACACACACACACACACACACAGCGTTTGTCGCGCTGTCGCTACATGTGTATGTATGCATTACAGTGCATCGTTAGCAGAATACAGTCTTCACCGATTCTTTGGTGTTGATACTAACGTAACAAGTACAGCGAATCTCTCTTCCCATATTTCGTGAGCTGGTGCAACTTGTTGTTCACGGCTGTTTTTTTCGCGAAATTTGGACATTTAACAAGATGGCAGCCAAAAGTCTCGATTGGGCTGGATCGGCAAGGAAATTTGAATTTTCAAATTCTCAGCAGCCGATTTCGCTGTGGTTTTCGCTCGATTTAGAAAGCTACCAGGCCAGGTTTACCCGGAAAACAGGTATTCCGTGTTCCTCTTGAAACTAGCTTTCCGCTGGTACCTCACATGGCCAACTTCGTCTCAGGAACAGTTTGTTCCGCGTTGCACAAGTCAAGCCTTCTTTCTCGCTCGTTCCTTGATTCATCGTTGACATGCCTGCGTCAAGAAGCCCTTTCAGGAGTTTTCCCAGTCTAGCTTTCAGTTTTCCCAGGTAGAGGACTATCTTCTGGCTATCTTCACCAAGTTTTATCACGTCCCGTGCACAAACTTCAGGTCCCGTGCGTTCGATGCTGAGCTACCTTTTCATGCGATTTAGGGGACAGATGGCATGGCGCTGGAGTCGCTGTTGAGTCCAGGAGGCCGAGACCTGGTGGAAACTGCCCAGTAGACATGTGGGGTATTGCTGAAAAAGGCAGCAAGCACACAGATAGCCCCGAAATTGTGATGTAGATCCAATTGTGCGTTTGTTCGAGTGCATATCGGCAAATTTGAAAGTTGCACCCGTGATCCCGGCGAGGAGAAGCTGAAAATCAGTGCGTGCGTCAATATCCAGACTACCAGGGACAGCTTGGAGAGGTTCGAAAAGGTCAGGATGCTGGTTGACCACGGCAGGAGTTCCTTTGACCTTCCTTCTCTCTCAAATTGTCTGGATATTGAGTATCTCGCTCGAGCGCTTTCAAATAGTAAATCCTGGTTTGACTTGCGAAATCGTGGAACCACACGGAGAGTGACATGAGTTTCATCCCAAAACGCAAACTCCCATCGTATTCATGAGGTTTGCACCGCGTTACGTAAATCGCACCGAACGACTCCATATTGTTAGATGTCCGTGCGCGAACAGCCGTGCATGTTAGGTGTCCGTAATCTAAAATTCGTGTATTGAGCACTGTGACCAGCGGTCAAAGGTCTTCTGTGTAATCTAACATTCTGTGTTCTACCTTTTTCTTCCGTCTCTCCTGGGCCTTCTTGTTCATGTCCTCCGACCACAGCTCGAAGAAGTATGACGGGTCGGTGTAGAACGTCAGCCCGTCCTTGCCATCGTCCCGATACGGATTGAACGCCGACAGGTTGGGCGGCCGCTGGCAGCGATTGTACACCTCGTGCAGTGCCACTGGAAGGGAGTCACGTGACAGCACTTGCTGCTCGGTCGTGTGCATGCTCTTGAAGTGCCGGTACATGCTGATGTCGTAGATGTTGACTGCCGCCACGGTCGCGTTGTGCACCCAGGTGAGAAGAAAGGACAAGAAGAAAATATGCAACACACGCATACGCAGAGAGACACACAGACACACAGATAGACAGACATACAGACAGACATACATACATACATACAGACACACGCATGACGAGATTTAGCCAGCACAAAATAAAAGGAGGTGCACGTGCATCGGCTCCAGCGACATGATGCATGCACAAAGATTCAAGACACGTATCAAGAGGAGGCCGTTGACCTGATGCCTGAACAGTAAGTTAAGATGACTCCCAGTTCCATGCATCATGCCTCAACGGGAGAAAACAAATGCAAAACCATGAACTGCTGTCATTGGATCAAGCGTGTATTTTGCACTCGGGCGAGGGGAGATTTTTGCAAGAAGCTGCTCCGAAACCAAGGAGAGGGGGGGGGGGGGCTGCACCACTTTATTATAATTCCTCTGCTACAACCCTGTCATGTACCCATGGCACATTTCACTACATTGCGCTTAGACCATCCTACCAAGGAAGTATCAAATCCACAACTGTGACAACGACCAGCATTACTATTAGGGCACAGAGCACGCAGCACATACATGTACTTTGTAGCCATGAGAGATCATGAAGCATGGGACACAAGTCATGTTCTACGCCACGCTCCACAGATGCAGATGGCCGTGCGAGGTGGATGCAAAGCCGGGGTAAAAAAATAGTTTGCTCGGGAAACTGGAGATGACTGCTAATGAGTGCCCTGACCTGCGTCACGCTGAACTTCCAGTCAATACGATTGAAAGTATACAGTTTAGCTACAGTACTGTCGGACGCCGAAGAACGGCCAGGCTAGAATTTCACCAATTTTTAAGAACGGTCTAGGCTGGCTTTTTGCAGATAAGAACGGAAAGTGTAATGTAGAGCAGGGGCGTCGCACACGGTACGGTCACTACGGTATTCACCGTACCACTATTTGCCCCAAGTACCCCGTGATTCAATAAAATGCACTGATTTGGGCTCTAAATTTCCAATATTTTCGGCTCAGCCTACCCTCCCCCACGAGTAAATTGTACTTGAGATGGCTGACCGTACCACAATAAATTACCTTCCGACGCCCCCGTACAGTATAATGCACACTTAGACGTATAACTCTGCATGAACACAGAGGCTGTGCGCCTTAACCTGCAATCCTGCTCAAATGCCCGGAATGGGCAGAGCGTAGTACGCAAGAGGTACAGGAAGTAAATAGGGCTGGGCTTTTTTTGTTGTAACTCAGAGTTTCATGGCAAAAACCAATCATCAGACAGCTCTGCATCAATACACGTAGGTTGGGATGATACATTTCCGTACTTCATGGTAAGTCAAAACAAGTGAAGTGGAAGGCGTGCATATGCATCACCATGCACCGTCCATGTACTGGTATAAGCATGTACGGTGCCAATATAAACTTTCGTGCACACAATGATACGTACAAGTCATGTACATGTACAGTGCTGACAACTGAAATCCAGGCCGGGGTCGGATTTCAGTTGCCAGCACTGTATGACTGCAGATCTACCATCGAATAAGAACGAAACGGCTGTGATCGTGAAAAATAGGAACGGGCTAGGCTAGAGCCCTGACCCCCCCCCCCAGTTCTTCGGCGCCCGAGAGTACTTTAGTGTCGCTACTTCCATTCCACTCCGCCTCTCACCTAAGTACCCTACCATAGTCTTCGCTTCAACTACATGTAGACCGGGAGAATGAAGATGAGAAGGAGAGGTCTGTGCTAGAACTTTGCAGCTTGGAGAGCGTGTGTGGGCAGGCGTGTGTTTACCGCCATATTGCCAGGTGTGTCTTTACCACCATATTTAGCATACATGTAGATCTACCAGCAATGAGTCAGTGTACAATCGTCGCCAAAAAACATCTGGCCAATGCCCGTACAGTGGTACGGTACGCGGACATGGCGGTGCCACATGGCAGCATGTATGCCTTACCACTGTTTGCTAGCTGTACTGGGATCTACCAGCCCTGCACTGACTATGCAGCTACGTACTTAATACATACAATGCTGGCAACTGAAATCCGACCCCCCTGAGCTGTAGGGTTCACATTCTTTCCGATGTGAGCGCACTGCTCAGCGCTCAGGGGGTCGGATTTCAGTTGTCAGCACTGTATGTGCAGTGGTAATGCAGGATTGTAGTACAGTCAGACCTGGCTTATCCGGTCCTCTTTTATCCGGATCCCTCGCCATCCGGAAGAAAATCGTTGGTTACTGATTTACAGCATATGCCATGCATACATACAGTATGTGTGTTCGATTATCCGGTTCCCTCGCCTATCCCGGATATTTTGGTGGAAAACGGATGTGTGCGGTTAAGCGAGGTCTGACTGTACTATTAGACTACCATAACAGCATGGCGTATTTTTTGGCGACGACTGTATGCATGGTATGTGCAGGGTGGTGATGGTGATTGAGTCAGTGCACAGTCAGTGCGTTGCTTCAGCAACGACCCTCTGTCTGAGTTCCTTGGTCTTGCAGCTCATGAAAAACTTTCGAACCGCATGTGGATCTATAATGATAATTATGACCACAGCAAAGCTGAACCAGTCACACACACACACACACACAGTTGGACAACGGACAGTATTCCTGGTATTCCCTAGCCTGAGAAGTCAGCTACTATAGTCTACTAGTATACTGTAGTACCGACCCTGGTTCAGCCATACAATGTAACACTGTCACTATAGTATAATAAACTGCTACTGTATTCAGTATGATTTGGGACGCATTCCTTGGAATGCTCCACATGCATTACGGTTTACGCGATACGGCCGACTTCTCCAAACCGTAAAATCAAAACATCCATGAGTGGTGGGACTGTGTAATTTTCTCAGCGAGCACTGCGGAGATCGAGATCTAACGCCCCACGAAACAAGAAACAAGTCGAGTCGCACTCACAGTGACATTGGTAACACCAAGAGGGGTTATGGACTCTTGGTAACACTGCGGCATTGGCCGAGGCAGCAACCATGACCATGAATCCCATGACCCCAGGCCCAGTAATGTACGTGCTCCTACTCTTGCAGGCTCCTTGCGCTAACCCGCACATGCATCTGGCACACACTTCCTACTCAAAACTGTCGGAGGACGTCGAAACCCGCAACTGCATGCATGCACTGCTTGCAACAGCAGCGCGCACTGCGCCTGGCGTCGGAAAGCAGCGCAACACGCAGTTTCCTCACCTTCCTCTCCTACAGGATCCAGCTTGGTCACCCGAACGGCGAGCTGCTGGACGCGGTTCTGAAGAGCTGCCGTCCGCTCCAGATACGACGTAGCCTCGTTGGTGATCTCCGAGAACAAATTGTCGGCATGTTTGCTGAGGCTGCTTAGCTGACGAATGACATTGGCTACGGTATGGGAGACGATACACTCGAGTTCGTTATCCACCTTGTCAGGAACATGGCAGCGACTCGCATAGTAGGGCTCAATAGTTCGCTTCACGAGCGGCATGGCTATAGGCTGGCAAAGCCGATATCCACATTTCTTCACAACTAATGTCTACCATACGAACCCTACCTTCTTCTTCCTGCACTGATCATGACTGTAGATCTACATACAAGGCAGTGTCTGGGTGGACCTCGACTGGCACTCATCGATCCAGTTGGGCTCAAGTACATGTCATACAGTGATCATTGTAGAACTGATGTCTGTATGACTGATCACGCAGTAGATCTACAGCCTGTACAAGGCTAGCTGTAGACCTACTGAGTAGATCTACTGACTGTCACTGACACTGAGTAGATCTACTGTGTAGACCTACACTAGGCTACAGCCGTACAGGTACTACTAGTAGTAGTACTAGGTAACTGACTCAGTACCACATCATGCACACACAGACAGGCGTTGACAGCCGTTGTTGTGGGATACACACAAACACAAACACAACAATCGTAACACAACAATCGTAACCATCCTCCGAGTCTATGCTACCAAAGACAAGTCTGACATGACCGTTTACTACGGTAGATCTACTACTACTGTAGACAGTTTCTCGGGTTTGGCTATAATAATAAGTATATGTTATCGCATGGTTGCAAGGGCCTTATGGCATATTATTGCCCCGAGAGGTTAGCCCGAGGGCCGTAGGCCCGAGGGCTAACCTCGAGGGGCAATAATATGCCATAAGGCCCGCAGCAACCATGCGATAACAAATTTATCACATGGCCCACAGAGCAGACCATTGGGCTGCTGTTGAAATTAGCCCAAATGGCAACACATTATGACCACAATGTATTATAGATGTGCTATCATTATCAAAACAGGAAAAATGAAGATATTTCTCCTACACCCTAACAAAAAGTCTGGTACAGGCCATCAGAGAGTATACAGTACTGAAAGACGGAGACAGAAAAAAAGTGCCGGCACCGCATCGTCATAGCAATAGACATGGCAACGACAATAAAATACAGCAGAATCATACATGTAATTTCAGTTGAAAAATTAAGAGTGCTACCACAAAGAGTTTCTTCATGTTTACATGTGTATCAGGAAGTTGTCAAATACAGTACTGCAACAAGTGCAAGTATTTGACGACTCCCTGGTGTGTAATTCTGAGGACAATTTTTCTTCTTTTTTTCAGCTCCAGATAGCTGTATTTTTCATTGCAAAACATTCCTGAATTGTTGTGTTTGTTGTTCAAGCAAAGGTGAAGGCAGAGGACAGATGAGCCTGGTAAGAGTTTTGCGTGGCACATGAAGGCCACACACAGGCAGTGACTTTGCGAGGATTTGAAAACGCACGACGCTGAGTTGAATTTGTGTTATTTCAAATAATAGTTTGTGATCACAGTACCACTTCGAGCAGAACTGAATCTTATCCACAAGCTTACCGACGGTCAGGCTGCAAACATGACTGAACAAATGATCCCTGCAAGCACCACACGGCAGACGTCCGAGGCCATGTCCATTGCCGGGATGTCCATCTCCAAAAAGAATTCCATCTTCGTCTCAATGCTACACTGCGACTCGTCGTAGAGTCGTACATCAGTCTACAGAGTCGTCGTAGTCACGCGATCACTGAAATAAACTATTTTTTTGGGGGCAAATAAACTATTTTTTTGCGGGCAATATCGCATATTATTGCCCGCGGCGCGAAAGGTGCTGATTCGCTGGAGTACGGGCAACAATCACGTGCCATGTGATAATATATTATTATTCATGTAGAAGAGAAAAGGACAATTATGGATACGAGTTAAGAGTAACTCTCCATCACTGTAACATGATACTATATACAGTCAGAAAGTGCAATAACTAGGCACAAAACCATATCCATATTGTATGTATGTATGTATGTATCCATATGTCCTTTTCTCTTCTACATTTATTTATGGCTCAACATCCGAGTTTCAAATATTATTATTCGTTAGGCCATAATTTATAAGGGGTACGAAATAACTATTTTTTACAAGTTTGTACCCAAATTTTTTTCTGAACGTTCGGGATGACAGACCTCGAAGTAGTAGACCTACGTAACATTATACTAACAAGCCTGCTGCCGTGCTGGAGGAATGACCTAACAAAGATTTCGTGAACGAAAACTTACTTGTACTTATAGTTATACAGTAGTACAATTATGTACATGTAATTATGTTTGTTTGATGTAGATCTACCAGGCAAGTACATATTTTAAAAATCATTACCATGATTACGGAGGAATTCATAGTTTGACAGTGAGGCCCTGAAAATCGCTGTGCGCGAGGCACTGGAGACTGGAGTGGAGACTGCTCATACTACACATAACAGTCATTATCTGCAGTTACCTGGTAACCAGGTAACAGTACCGGTAGCTACACTAACACTGAGTACTACTACCGTACTGGCAATTATTATAATTATGGTCGCAGTGACATAATTATATTGCCAGTACGGTAGTATAGTAGTAAGTCATAGTACTACCTAGTAGGTAGTAGTTTACCAAGTGCCAAGGCCACGGTGGCCCTGCGCCTGTATACCACTGGTATACATGTAGCCGACTTGTACTTGTAGTACTCTACTGTACTTGTGGCAGTGAATAATCGACTGTTCCGATCTGGGATTATGTGCTCGCCAAACAGCTACATGCATGATTGTACAATGACTGTACAGACTGCCATAATCATGATAATGCACAGTAGATCTACTACTAGTACTAGTACTAGTAGTAGTAGTCACTACATTTGTCATTAAGTTAAAATTTTGTAGCTGTGAGCAGGCAGCTCAGGGTAAAAACGGAACCTTTTCTGCTACCCGATCGTCATCTACTTGACTGCCGTGCAGGAAAACTAGGAAACTAAAAAACTCTATACTCTGTCGACATGTCTGTAGTGTTACCTGCCCCAAAACCGGATTGCCTGTCAAACTACATTTTTTTGTTCACAGTCACCTGACAGTCTGTAGTGTAGTGGGTAGACGGTCCTGGTGCGATCGAGTGGTGAAGTGTTGCTGTGTGGGCATAGCCTAGTAGTAGATCTACTGCCTAGGAGTACTGGGGTGTAGGATTCACGCCAACGCCACGGCGAGATCAAGTGGCGAACTGTGATGATTACAGGCGCAGAAACAAGCTAGCTGGATACGACTGTCACTTGTCAGAAAGTTGAGGAAGTCACGAGCTCTCTCTACTCGACTCACTCTAGTCTAGCTCTAGCTCTCCCATTCGGCTGCTACTGGCAGCACAGCACAGTCTCGTCGTATCGCGGAAGCGCGGACTGCCGATTATGTCTCGAGCCCGTCATCAATTGTCGCCACGCAATGGCTGTAACAGCGCAGTCGAATTACTTGTCGATCAGCAGAACCTGGATTCAGCCGATGTGTTCATGGAGGACGACTCGTGCAAGTCGCTCCAGCGTCCGCTGGCGGAAACACATTCCGAGTCGGCTCGCTCCTTGGCCAGTACGATGTCGATCCCCGTTGCGCCTGCTAGCGAAATGGATTGCGGAGCATCAGTTGGTCCAGATAGCGGATTCGAGTCGAACACCGGCACCGGATCGTCGTTGTCGCATCTGGTTACCGGAAGGAGCGATGCGTCCAGTGGCTTGATCGAGGCCGGCATCGAGCAGTACCTGAGAGGAGATCTCTACACGGCCACGCTGTTGCTGAGCGAGGCGGCTGGACAGCAGACGAACCACTCGCTGGAGGTGGAGTACGGCGTGGATGACTGGTCGTCAGGAATAGCTCTGGATAGCCAGCGAATCCCATCCTGGATGAGCGGGTAAGGGAGACGAATTCGATTTTTTTTGTGAACAGATCGCCGGCATGTACTCTACGAGTACGAGGCAGAGGTTAGCACCAGTTGAAGGTGGATTCGTCAGTCTGAGTCACCTACATAATTGCCATTGCCATTGTAGAGTCTGCTTGTCGGCTAGCACTAGCAGTTACAACATGCCATGGACATGGCCATGTCCATACAGTTGAACATCGATTATCCGACCACCTCTGGGCAGACAACTGTCAGGCGGTGTTCAGATAAGGCAAATGTTCTGGATAACAAAAAACTGTCACTCACACACTTTCAGTGGTTATTACTAACCGCACGACCTTTTTACTTTTTACTTTTCAAAATTTTCGTATTTTTTGAATGGCTCACTACGTGCACAGTGCGTACTCTACGGCACGTGCGCCCAAAAAAACTGTTACGGATAATCGAATGGTCGGATAGTCGATGTGCGGATAATCGATGTTCAACTGTAATTCATTACGATCATTGAATCTAGAAAAAAATCCGCCTACACACAACCGATGACATTCCTGTTCCGCCGGATATAAAAATAATCAATTAGCCTATTGAGTGATACTAGCACATGATTATAATAAATTATTAGGGGTCAAAGGGGTGTACCGGGTACCCGACCGTTAATCTCAGGTACCGTTAGTAAAAGGGTACCCCCTTGGATTTTGATCTGTCCCCGGGGAAAATTGCGGAAAAAAATCGCAAAAAACGCGGGGAAAAACGCGGCATAATATGGCAGAATTTGCGGTGAATTTGCGGTAAATATGCGGTAAATATGCGGTGAATAATATTGATGTGCGGCAATTTTCAGTGAGTATGTAGTGAAATCAATCAGTTACAACTCTCTGGTGTAAGCACTCGTCATATTTGAGTAAAAAGCCGCCACGATGAGACGTTGCTGACCGAACATGTGCACTGTGTGTACGTGTAGTGTAACAAAAAAGTTCAAAAAACGCGGGAAAATCGCGGAAAACGCGGTCTTTTAAAAAATCGCAAAAAACGCGGAAAAAAACGCGGCCGCGGAATTGCAATTTTCCCCGGGGACAGTTTGATGAACCAGTCAGTACGGAGCAACACTGCTGGGATCGTGTATTCCAGCTGTCCCCGGGGAAAATTGCAATTCCGCGGCCGCGTTTTTTTCCGCGTTTTTTGCGATTTTTTAAAAGACCGCGTTTTCCGCGATTTTCCCGCGTTTTTTGAACTTTTTTGTTGCACTACACGTACACACAGTGCACTGTTCGGTCAGCAACGTCTCATCGTGGCGGCTTTTTACTCAAATATGACGAGTGCTTACACCAGAGACTTATAACTGATTGATTTCACTACATACTCACTGAATATTGCCGCACATCAATATTATTCACCGCATATTTACCGCATATTTACCGCAAATTCACCGCAAATTATGCCATATTATGCCGCGTTTTTCCCCGCGTTTTTTGCGATTTTTTTCCGCAAATTTTCCCGGGGACAGATTCCAGGCGGGAGTCAATAATTTACAACTCCACGCTGGATGTCTGCATTGTTGTTGCATTTTCGCACCTAGTAGATGTACTCCTGCGACTATTAGACACCAATCGATTTGCTAAACACAATGTGATATCAAAATGCAAACCGAGAACAGATGAATTAAAATCTTGATTTATGTGAAAATTGCGCAAAAAATTAAACATGGCTGCTAAAGGGTACCCGTTAACCGACCCGTTAAGAAAATTACCCGTTCGTTAGTTAAAGGTACACCCGTTTGACCCCTAATAATTATTGTACTTCCAAGTAGATGTAGTAGATGAATTAAAAGCACTGCCACTGGGCTCTACAGTGCAAGATATCTACATCATTTCAGGACAGTTTTGAACACATGATAACCCCATACTACACACAGGACTTAGCTTGATGTTTACACGGAATAGAGTACAATCATGTACTACAGGTAGCGGTAGCATGAAAAACTGATGCAGACTATGACCGTACAGTCAGACCTCGCTTATCCGGTCTTCATTCTCCCATGGATTGGATGCAGCTTCAAAGTGCCGGTCACTATTTTTAATTGTGTGCCTTGCCTCTGATTGATCCGCACGTGCCCATTGGCACCTTGAACCTTGAACTTGTGCTGGGATTACACCATTCAACAGCTTGCAAGGCTGATGAATTGACCGCCACTAATTTTAGCACACACACACATACACACACACACACACACACACACACCTGTCCTGTCCTGTCCTGAACATTGCGGTAAAACGGTCACATGTCCCCTCATACGAGGGGCCGACAGACATGGGGTAGGTCGTTGAATACGGTACGCAGCACGCTCCGCAGGCTAGCGGCCAACGAGAGTCACACACACACACACACACACACACACACACACACACACACACACACACACACACACACACACACACACACACACACACACACACACACCTCACACACACACACACACACACACACACAAACACCATTGGACCATTGGACGCCCATCGCCAGAGGCGATGATAGCGATGCTACAGCAGAAGCCATAGCAGCTTGTGCTGGGATTGCACCATTCACACACACACACACACACACACACACACACACACACACACACACACACACACACACACACACACACACACACACACACACACACACACACACACACACACACACACACACACACACACACACACACACACACACACACACACACACACACACACACACACACATATATATTCCCCACACCGCCAGCTGTGTGCGCATGCATACCTGGCCAGTGGATTTAACCGCCGTGAACAGAGCAGCACCATGCTGATGTGCACAATCCTGTGTTTGTAACACTAGTAGAGGTCATGCAGCACTCAGTGCTGCTATAGTCATGACTGGAGAATTTCACAAGGCAGCACTGCAGAATCATTAAGACATTATGAATCTCTACATATGCTGTATGTGGTTCTGTGTGTGCAGGGACCTGTCAAGTGATTCAGTGATCCTGGAAGTGTACAATCGGAGGCTGCAGCAAGCATTGAAGGTTGGCAGCACGTTAAATTCCTAGTTTTAGTACCTGTAGTAGCCAGGGTCGCGGCGGGAGAGAGAAATGTACAGACAGAAAGAAACAGAGAGAGAGAGAGAGAGAGAGAGAGAGAGAGAGAGAGAGAGAGAGAGAGAGAGAGAGAGAGAGAGAGAGAGAGAGAGAGAGAGAGAGAGAAAGAGAGAGACAGGAGAGACTGGAGAGAGAGAGAGAGAGAGAATGTGGGGGGGGGGGGGGGGGGTATGGCCGTTGGAAGATTTCGTCGAAGCATCTTTTTCCTTCACGGAACCATGTACCAGCAGATAGGTGGATAAAAATTGTGTTGGGGTGGTCCTGGGCCGTTGACTGGGGGTCAATAAATCCTGGGCTTCAGTTTTCTGTTTCAACTGAAAACTTAGTTGCCTTTAAACATATTTTTTGTTTAACAATGGCGTTACTAGTACTGAAGTTTCAAGTCATGTCAATCTTCATGAGCCTTGCCTTCTTTTCACGACCATGAATGAACTATTTTGATCTTCAGTGTCTGCCTTTTTTGTGTTGTTGTTGCTATAATGAACATGTAGCTCATCGAGGCCGTGCCATCCGTAGACAAGAACTATCTTGTATGCGGTAGTGTCTGCTGTGTGCTAAATCAATGGGATGATGCTAGGTATGTGTACATAGTCTCATGCTTATGTATGTAAGCCTTGAATTGTACAACGGTGTGTGTGTGTGTTTGTGTGTGTGTGTGGGGGGGGGGGGGTATGTGTGGGCGTGTGGGTGTGGGTGGGTGTTTTTGTGTGTATATGCATGTGTGTGTGTGTTTGTGTGTGTGTGTGTATATGCGCGAGCGTCTGCACGTGGCTGTGGCAGGGAGGGATTGCATGCTTCTATTACGCCATACAGTGGATGTAGATGTAGAAGCTTGCATGTCAGTGTGCAGTCACTTCCGGAGTTTCAACCAGCCTGCAAGCTCTGCGCACGCAGCTCGGTACACACCTGCATACCAGTTATACTGCGTGCATTGTACTCTTTCGAAAAATGTGGCCTTCGTTTGACTCATAACGGAAGTTAGACGGAAAATCGAACGAAGACCTTAATAAGCTGTGACTGCTTCACTTACTCCGAATAGTGTGTCACTGAAATCAGCTCCAGAAAGTTGAAACCCGTTGTGTCTGAACTGTGAAGTCATATTTTATGTGTATGTAGGTGTCGTATAATTATTTCAATGTGTGTGTGTGTGTGTGTGTGTGTGTGTGTGTGTGTGTGTGTGTGTGTGTGTGTGTGTGTGTGTGTGTGTGTGTGTCTATGTGTGTGCCGCCCTGCAGGGAGTTCTATCGACAAGGACTAGCGGCATGCTCGGAGAAGAGCCGACTGCGGTAATGAATACAGCGGGGGAGTGGGAGGGGCAATACACCATGGAAGGGGCAACACACCAGAGAAGGGAGGGGCACTACACCAGGGAGGGGGAGGGGCACTACACCAGGGGGGGGGGGCAATACACCAGGGAGGGGAAGGGCACTACACCAGGGGGGGGGGGGGCAATACACCAGGGGGGGGGGGCAATACACCAGGGAGGGGAGGGGCACTACACCAGGGAGGGGAGGGGCACTGCACCAGGGAGGGGCACTGCACCAGGGAGGGGGCACTACACCAGGGGGGGGGCAATACACCAGGGAGGGGAGGGGCACTACACCAGGGAGGGGAGGGGCACTGCACCAGGGAGGGGGCACTACACCGGGGTTGCAGTAGCTACTAGCATCCTTCCATGTACAGGCAATGAACGGTGGGTGATGCAGCCTACTTATTGCTTAGTGATGGCATGGCTGCATGTGCAGATCCGAGTATGGGTTGGATGTTCTTTTACTGCACACAGGCTTTAGAAAGCCAACAGATTGATCAGCAGTGATCTTCATGGGTATTGTATGTTTTTTTTTGTAATTTTCACCTCTTCAGATGTATATCTCTTGCAGCTGTAAAATTCAAGTTCTGCCAAAGAGAATGATTCATGCCATACCACAATGACATTATTAAATTTTGTTGTGTTGACACTTGGTAGTGATGTGGCTCAAGCGTGCAATAGTGGTGGATGCAATGACAATAGTAGATCGAAGATATTGTAGGAGTGTCCCGGATCCACTTGAATCCAGGATCCGATCCCAGATGCGCTCGAATCTAAGCCAGGGGCGGATCGGGAGATTTCTACAGGGGTGAGGGCGGGGGGGGGGGGGGGGGGGGGGGGGAGGGGGGAGGGGGCGTCCAGTTTAGCCAGAACTGAATAGCTGATACATGTACATATATATGGTTTCCAGCAATACGTTTGCGAAATTATGGGGGTTCCGCTGAGCCCCCCCCCCCCCCCAAGATCTGCCTGAATCTAAGCACCTTATTTTTGTATTGGTGCATTCTGGTCACAGAGCGGCCCTGGGCTCTCTGAACAGCATCGAGCGTCATGTGCGCCACGCCGTGGAGAGAGTGGAAGTGGAGAGCCTAAGCAAGCCAGCGCTGGCAAGGTCTGCGTTGACGCGCTCCACGCGAGCAGGATCAGACTTGACGCCAGTGCCCAAACCGGGAGGGCAGGGTCCGCGAAGGTAAGCGCCGCCGCTCAGTGATCTCGTATTGCTGTACTAGTGTTATAGCGGGTTTTTTTTCAGCCAGCTGTGACATCACTGTCTTTCCAGCCCGGCTACAGCTGTTAGCTGGCGAAATAATCTACTGTAAAACCGGAAAGGCTAGCGAGTCACAAAGTCTAACGGTTTAACGACCAATTTGTTTTCGTTATTTGAAGAACGCTATCGCGAGATGTCTGTGTAAAGATGCGCATACAGATGGGTGGCCAGGCAGCCATCGTTAAACTTTCTGCACGTTATCATGCCAAAATTACAAAAACGTTTAACTTTTTGGTCGTTTAAACTCGAATGGAGAGCCAAGGATTAAAATTCCAAAAGAGGACCAAGAGTTTACAAGTTAAGTGTTTCCGAACACAGTGTCCTCCACATTGCTTCATGCTGTCAATCTAACACGTTTTAGTGTTCCGTTTGTGTTGGACAAAACGGATAACTTGTAAACTGTTGGTCCTCTTTTTGAATTTTTGGTCGTTAATTAAACTTTCCCGTTTTACAGTGCCCGGCTAGCTGGATCAGCACAACCACGTATACAGTAGTTGTGTCTCCACATTGTGTTTATTTTTGGTTCATGACATCATCCGTGCACTCGCAGGAAAACATTCGCTGGTACAAGCCGCTCAGACTCCATAGCGTCGACGACAAGCGCCAGCGACACCAAAGGCGGCAGTGGCAAAAGCAGACGATTACAGAGGTAAGACAGGCGTGCTGCTGTTGCTGCTGCTGCTGCTGCTGCTGTAGCGTAGGCTATGTCTGATTGCTTGGTGGACTTTTTTTTTCAAGCAAAGCCGTATTTTGCTTTGTAGTATTGTCAATAGACATGATGCGGCTGTCTGCTTTTCAGCTTTTACTTTTAAAAAAGTGTTGAAATCTTGCCGAGTGGGAGGTGGGTAGCTTTCAGTGCCCAGAAGTTTCCCCAGGGGCTGTGGTCGCCTGGAACAATGTCATTTGGAGCATGACAGGCACTTGATGCGGTAGCAAAGGTGGATCGCTATGGTGTCTCTTTTTTTAAAAGATTTGGAGGTGCACAGGGGTAAGAACTTAGAAGTCAACAACTGTCTGGTTGTCATCGTGGAAGGCTATGCGGCCACCTGCATGTGGCGTGGCGCACACTGTGAACATGGGATTCATCTCCTTGCGCTTGACAGACAGACCCTGGGTATCCACCTTAGTACTTCTTCTGAAGATGAAATTAAAATGCACCTTGATGATGAGGACGAGGACGACAACAACATCGACAACTACGACAATGACAACGACGACAACACTGATTTGCCTGGAATCATCATTACACTTGAAATATCACCATGCCAGCAATGCGCTCATCCCTGTGAACATGATAATTATTTATGCGTGTGTGTGTGTCTGCGTGTGTGTGTGTGTGCGTGTGTGTGTGTGCGTATGTGTGTGTGTGTGTGTGTGTGCATGTGTGTGTGTGCATGTGCATATGTGCACATGCTCGGATGTATGTGCTGGGTATCAGTATCATGCAGCGCTTTGGCTACAAGCGCAACAGCCAGTCAGTTCCGGAGGAAGAAATACCAGAGTGACATCATTGCCAGTACCAGAGGGACATTGCCGACGAGTGGATGCGGCAGACACCCCGCAGGCGGGCATTCCTCCTCGCCTGCAAGGCCACTAGTTCTTTGGCGGGGTTGCATGTACATGTAGAGACGTTGAGCAGTGCTACATGCGGCATTCTGCAGGTAGCATGATGGTGATGATGCTGCACCAAGCTACGAATTGGTCACCACCAGGATGCTGTGTATGTGAGGTCTTTATTACAGTAACTCCACTTACCACTGTCTACGGGCTACCTTTGCCCAGGATGCTATGATGAGGCCGGTCAGTATTGATGCCAACAGTAATAACCTTCTATAGTGCAAAGCTACTCACATCTTTTAATCTCAATCTTGCTAGGAAGGCACGCTGATGCCATGGTTGGTGGCCACCACGCGAGCATTATCCTTTCTGTTTATTTACATTATTTGAATTGATATTTGTTGAGAGTTCTCTAAAGCAGACCTTCAGTGATATTGGATTGTCATGCAAGTGATATGTGCGTCATTATTTTTTATTCTTTCCGTTCTGAAATAACAATAGATGGGTCAACAGGAACCAGCCCCAGTTTGAGAGTGCAGACAGCACTTCTGCTCTTATGTAGTATTATTAGTGGCAGCTTCCGAGCAAGCCGTCTCAGTTATCACTCTTCAACATTTGCTCCACCAGCTGGTAGCAGCTCGATGTCCCGAAGTGATTATGTGCTCATGCGTTTCTGAATACCAATGATGTTGATTACCAATTGTGTGCCGTGTGGTATTGAAATCTGCGGCCGAGTTCTGTAGAGGTGCCCTCTAGCACAGTTTATTATGTGAAACAAATCTTGAATCTTTCTTCTGAGTCCTGGAAAACGCCCTACCATAATACTAGTACTAGCACACTGATGCCACGTGACGCAGAATCTACATTGTAGGTACCTGCAGGCGCGACATGACACTCTAGTCTAGATCAAGGTTGAAAATTCTTTGAAGTAACCGAAACACTGTGAATTGAAGATGACGACAAAGCATTGTACACTGTACTACCGGACTAAAATTAATTTTAATATTATTGACAAATCCTTCCTAGACTTACGTCTACTAGTTTGCCCAGCTCCAGCCGCTTCTAATCTAAAGGGCAGTGGAGATAGAGCATCAAGGATGGGAAATAGACCAACATGCATACTTCATAACTGGAGAGAAGCCCAGCAGTGTTGCAACAACAGGCAGAACGTCAAAAATGATATCACATCACAACTCAAGGATAATGCCAGCACGTCCTAAATAGAAAAAAAAGGAAAAGAAGAACATCCACATCGCAAACTATACACGTATCATGACTGTACTTGAACAAAACGTTGAGAGCTAATACTCAGCCTAATAGGTAGTTGTCGTGATGTAATACATGCCATTGTACTTACTGCCAGTAATGATTTGGGAGTTTTGTTTTGCTTGAAGATGGACGAGATTCGTTATTAGATTTTACGTTGTTCCAATTTGACACAGCCTGTTTTAGTGGCCTAATCCCTAGCTAGAATAGACATCTCATGAAAGCAGTGAGTCTACGAATCTGAAAGGTGGCATCTCTAATCAGATCCCCTGAACGTAAACTTGGCCGAGCTACTTGCAGTATTATGTGAAAGTCGTGCTAGCAGTATACACCGTTGCCACAGCTCCACACTGCGCAAGACTAGAGTCCCGTGTGCATGTAGGGGCGCAGGGCACTGTGAACCGATGCTGAGAACGCCTTTCTTAGAAGTATACTCATTTTTGACGCGGTATGGTTCACGTGCAAGCTCACTCCATGACTCAATGCATAATAGTGCTGCCGTCGAGCACAACGTGGTTGCAGGCACAAATGAAGCTACTTGAAAGCCTTGTGCGACAGGGCTGTCGTCACGTGGCCGCCGTGAAACAAAATAGGATCAACGTGGCAGCACTCGTAACCTAAGCTTCTTCACTTCATTTCCTCAGTCAGTTCCGGGGGGACGGAAGCGGGCCGGTCTGGGCCTCATGCAGCCTCCTCTCCTCCAGCTTCCGCTGCTGGAGACTCAACAGGCTTGTCTCCTTCCTGCTCCGCTCTGGCTTCAGCACTTGCACTATCTTCCTTGCCATCCCCATCCGCGGCAGGAGCATCTGCTGTTTCTCCTCCATTGTCGCCAGTGGGAGCCTCTGCCTTCTCTTCGTCAGCGGCTGCGGGCGTGTTTTCGGCCTCATTACTTGTTTCAGCTGCAGGTGCTGCTTCCACGTCACCGCCTTCTGCGGGAACAGCAGCAGCAGCTTCATTAGGTTCTTCACTATTTCCAGCTTCAGCTGCTGCGTCTCCATTTGTTTCACCTCCGTCTGCTGCTGCTGCCGTGGTAGCTTCTTCTCCGTTTGCAGCTTCACCATCTTCACAGCAGCACAGGAATGGGAACAAAACACACCCACACACAGACACACACACACACACACACACACACACACACACACACACACACACACACACACACACACAAGAGTGCATAGAGTGAACACTGTGGATTTCAGGAGGAGTGCTTGGCCACAGAAAGCACTTCCACACCGTGCATGCACTTCCAAGACCCTATCCCAGCCGCCCATTCTTCAGAATAGATACACAAGGACTGGCCGGTGACACAGGTTTAGCCGGGAATTACAAGCACAATGCAGCTCCACAGAGAACATGTATTAGCCAATATCAACACTGCGGCAACTTTGAGTCGTGTTGCTGGTGTGAATGAGGCCAGCCAGTACACTGCGGCAACTTTGAGTCGTGTTGCTGGTGTGAATGAGGCCAGCCAGTACACTGCGGCAACTTTGAGTCGTGTTGCTGGTATGAATGAGGCCAGCCAGTACATGTGATGGAGCTTGAACTAATAACATACACACACACAGTATTACTTATACATAATACTGATAGTACGAAATGGTGGTTGCGACTTCGGCGATGATTTTTTAGGAATGGGTTTGCTCCCACACTGGAGCTCGCGCTATTCCGCCGACTTTTCAAGTCAAGTGTCAAGTCAAGTCGGCGGAATAGCGTGAGCTCCAGTGTGGGAGCAAACCCATTCCTATACCGATAGTAAACATAATGTTATTGCATATACTGATATTGGTGTTTAGACCTCTAACCCAGGCTTCTACAAAATTACTATTCAGAACTGCTATGTCGGAATATCACATGTCTGCAAAGACCGGTATTACCATCCACTATGTACAGTGTGGGTGCTAAAGGCAGGCTTCACCGTCTTACACATGCCACCACTTGCACTCTCACTCACCTTCTTCCTCGGACTCGGACTTTATCCTGCCGTCGTTGCCGAACTCCAGGCCCTCGCCGAAGATGAGCTCGACCTCGCGCTGGGCTTCCTCCGCGCTGGCGCTGCCATGCAGTGCATTCTCGAACTCCTCGCCACCGAACTTTGCTCTCAGGCTGCGGCGGTGAGAGTGGGGCGAACACACCGTGAGGAACACCATGAACCAAAGCATAGGAACCAGTTAGGAATATGAGGAACAGAAATGGTGACAGTGGACTGATGCAGCATGAAGTACTACAGTAAAACCTGCTAAGGCGACAACTCTGAAAAGATGACCACCTGTCCCAAAGGATCACTACCACTGCGGCTAGGACCAAAGGAGGCTGGTTTTAAAAAGTCACATGACCCTGGATATGGCAGGGTGGATTCAAAGATCTCTACAGGGGGTTCCAGTTTAGTCAAAACGGAATGGCGGATACATGCACATGCACACGAATACGGTTGCCAGGAGTAGATTTGCGAAATTTCGGGGGTTCCGGGGAACCCGCCCCTGCAAGGAGACCACCTGTACTTGGAGACCACGGTTCTAAGGTCCCTTGAGCGGACGGTCGGCTTAGACAGGTTTCACTGTACATACTACGTGCACATGTAGCCCAGCAAGTGTGGCGTAGCATTGGCAGTTAATGCTACTGGTATGATGCTTACCAGCCTGGGTTCTGCTCCTTCGCTTCAATAGTGCTGGTGGGTCCTAGAGCATCTCTCCAGGCCTGTATGCCGTCACGGGATGACAGAATCATGGTCTCCACCGGACCGCTGTGGACAAGGTCACACGGCAACACACGCACACACACACACGCACACACACACACACACACACACACACACACACACGCGCGCGCGCGCACATACACGCATACACACACAGCATAATAGTGAGTATCGACCATAATACTAGGTGACCATGAAATTCCTACGACATTGCGAGAGCTCTCAGCTCTCTATGAAAAAGATGAATTCTCATAATTATTAATTATAAACTCCATCTTACATGTGGTCTGGTGATTGCACGGTTGTCCATGAAGCTCAGAGTTACACCCACAGAGCTTTTCTGTCCACTGTTTGACTGTACTACGCTCTGGCTCCACGGCATTTGGAGCACTCTTTGCATACTAGGTGCGTCCCTCGTAAACACCATCTCTAATAGACCACATAACTGTACACAAAGGAGTTGCCGGGCGCTTCAGCTTCAGACGGCTGTGACACGGCACAGATACAGTCAACTTTGGGTATAACGACACTCGGCGGGGCATCAGAAAAGTGTCCTTATTCGCGAAGTCTCATTATATTATGTATTACAGTTAGATGGGACTTCGCTCTGGGCATGGAAATTCTGTCGTTATTCGCGAATTGTCGTTATATCCGCAGTCGTTATTAGCAAGGTTGACTCTAAGACACTACAGTGTTGCTCAATGAGATCCAGTAGCGTCGCTCAAGTACGCGCCTGGCCTTGCGGGACCCTACATTGTAGACCTGCGAACACTGGGCTGAGAAATGATGCAAGGCGCACACTTGAGTGACCCGACTGGATTTCATTGAGCAGCACTGTTCTTGTATTCCTGATCATAGCCTTCTCCCAGTACTAGTACTAGTACTAGCACAGTACCTGCACATGGCCTCGACCAGGCTGGCATAGAAGTCTTTCTCCTTGTGTTCAGCGTAGAAGTCAGCCACCACGTCCGACTGCAGCTCCTTCTCTTCTTGCATCGCAATCACAAAGCCACGGTTGGAGATCTCCTCGAGGATTTCCTCTGCAATGAACCGCACAACACAGTCAGACTGTCAGGGGGGGGGGGGGGGACAAGTAGCTTTCTTGTCATCGTTAATGGAAAATAAGATACACGAGTGACATCATAGAATTATCAACATTCCATGATGACATCATTGTAGAATTATATTTCGTCTATGACTGAGTAAGTACTGTAATACTGTTCATGCAAGAGCCAGGCAAACTGACACCCCCCCCCCCCCTTTCAATGATGACACATTGTGATGAAATTCAAAAAGTCACTGTAGTAGAAAGTCACCGACCTTTCCGTTCCATTGCATGTGGCTTGATGATCGCAAGCGTCTGCTGCATTGGGAAGAAGCGGTTGACGTCCCGCGCGGCCGTCTCAAGAGACGCAGAGCTGTAGAGGCACAGTGAGTCTGCTGTACCTTCCCCGGCGGACTTGCTGCCAAGGCTGCATATGTACATGTGTGTGTGTGTGTGTGTGTGTGTGTGTGTGTGTGTGTGTGTGTGTGTGTGTGTGTGTGTGTGTGTGTGTGTGTGTGTGTGTGTGTGTGTGTTGCATGCGGTGTTGTCCGTCCGAGCACAGAGACAGAAACGTTTGGAATCAATTAGGAGGAAAGGAAATACAGGATACTAACCGATGACAATCACATGAAAACGCTCTTAGAGACAACCAATCATTCCTTGATGATGTTTGTACTAGTAGGTGCATGATAACATAGAATGACTGCGCACTTTATCTTCTTCATTGCAATTTTATAACTTTCATCTCCTCGCTGGCTCTTCAAATACCGCGAGGATAGTTAAAAGAATGCTCAACAAGTGCATGGGAATGAACTGGGACATGTTTCAGGTACGTGTCTTACTACGCACAAATGAAGGATAGCTTGCGCGCAATCCGAATATCTGCCATGATCGTGCTGGGGAGTTGCATACCCGTGCTGAGTGCTATTTGTATTACTCTGCTGCCCACTTATTAAAAACTGGTTGGAAATGCACAACGGGAACACTACACCGTGTGATGCGAGTTTTCGCCGTCAGCAAATCCAATAGAAAGGGTATCAGGAGTTGCACACTCTTGTGAGCTTATAGCTTATACCCATGCTAGTATGTGTGTAACGATGCATGCATTAACAACCATATCATGTTTTTCAATTTATACCTTCAAACTCTGTGAGTAGTATAGGAGGGGGGGGGGGGGGGTTCTGGGTCACCCTCCAGTTGAGCCAAAACCGTCCTTCTCAAACACACCTCTCCCGAACGACCCCCCCCCCCCCCCCTGCACTACGTCTGTGCTACCAACAAAACTGCAGACACACGTACACACGTACACACGTACACACACACACACACACACACACACACACACACACACACACCAGATCCATACCTGGCATCGCCATCCTTCGGCGCGGCCGCGCCAAGAGTTTCCGAAAACAAGCCGATGATCTCCTCATGTTCCAGCAGCACTAGCGTAGACTCAGCACTACAAACAATGTGCACGGGATACCAGAGGAGTTACACTTGCAGCATTGTGCAATTGCAAGAACAGCATACTGTAAAGTGAGAAACTTTCGCTAGAGATTAAATTTCGCTATTTTGCGACCACTAGAGATTAAATTTCGCTATTTTCGCGACCATCATAAATTCGTGAATATAAATCCCCGCAAACTGCTCTGTACATTGATTTTTGCCGGTACGAGATCCAACTGAGTAGATGAGATTGCGAAAGTTTCTCATCTTGAACCAGTGCAATTCTTGAAAACGCGAAATTTGCGAAAGTTTATCGAAATCTTTAAATAAAACGCACCGAAAATTTCGATACTGTACTAGTAGTACACTTACATGTACTTGGAAAATGGGTTTACCGAAAATTTCCCTCGACCGAACCGCCGATTTTGGAGAATACCGAAAATATTACACCACCGAAAATTTCTGCTTTTACAGTATGCGAAATAACTTTGTGTACACCATGCTGGGGAGGGGGGGGGGCAAGCATATGTAGTCCTTGTAACCTCGAGCCCAGTGCCGGTACAGGTCCTGACCAGCCTACACAAGATGTTTGTCAATCATGTGATGCTGTCTCCGGTACCCTCTGCTGTACGTTCTGCATACCCCGGCACCATGCAACGGGCAGTTTGACCCGAGGTAGTTGCAACTGCGTGGATCAAGTGAGACTTTTGCTGGCAGTGTTCATGTAGTTATAATATTACGACTACCTTGTTCACATCTTATATTGCTCATGTACAACGACAACAGAGAGAGACGGACACGTTTGTTTAATCAGGGGCGTCCCACACGGTACGGTCACTACGGTATTGACCGTACCACGTTTTGCCCCAGATACCCCGTGAATCAACAAAATATACTGATCTGGGATCCAAAATTCCAAAATTTTCGGCTCAGCCACCACTTCCCCACGAGTAAATTGTATTCCAGATGGCTGACCGTACCACATTAACGCACTCTCCACATACAGGCATGCACCCGGCTCAGAACACATTGTTTTCTGGTTGGCATATCAGGGATATTGGGCGGAGCAGCTGGCGTGCATGAGAAAGACAGGTCGGCCTGCTCTTCGCAGGAGCTGTGACCCGGTGCACACATAGTGTGTGCGAGAGAGAGAGAGAGAGAGACAGACAGGTCGGCCTGCTCTGCGCAGGAGCTGTGACCTGGAGCACATAGAGTGTGAACGAGAGACGGTCGGCCTGCCGTGGGCAGGAGCTGCGACCGGTAGTGATTGAAATGAGCCAGCTGCGGAGATAGACTGCCCTCACCCGATATAAGTATATTGACAAGAGTTGTACTAACACTGTTATTGAGGAAATTATGGTGACAGTGACGGAGAGATAGTGATCCCCAGTCGAATGGGGTTGGGAGGGAAGGGGAAATTGACAACTGACGGACAAACCAGTGAACAGTCAAGTCGTCGGAAAACAAAAGTGACAAAGGAGTCTCTCTTTTCTCTTTCTCTCTCTCTAAAGCAAGATTTGGAAAGCACGCGTGGGAGAGTGGCGCGCGCTGCGCATGCGCATGTATAGCAATGACATCATAATCAGATGCATGATCATCAGACTAAGTATGAGTGGTAGATGTTCCACGTTCGTTAACAGGGCTTAGCGCACACGCTAAACCACCACTAAAATACCTTCCGACGCCCCTGTTAGTGGAAAGCCGTGGCTCTGTGCTCTAGGCTAATAATCTGTGTTACATGAATGATCACCAACACACGCGTAGCCCATACCTGACCATGTGCGCGGTGATCTCCTCCATGTTGGCGTTCTCCTGACAGTCGGGGTAGAGCGTCTCCACGTCGTCCTGCTCCAGCTGCACGGAGCGCTGTCGTAGTACACACGCATTGCTGTCCGTGAACTGCTCAATGATAGAAGCTAGGCGAGGGAAAAGGACAAACAGACAAGAGCAAACCAGCAAACCCATATTTCCTACATATGCACTACGCACAAACTTGAACACTGCAAACTTCTCCCATCCGAATACAGTAAACCCTGATGAGGCGACCACTCTGATACTTGAAGGCAACCACCTGTCCAAGGAGACCCCTACAACCAGGACCAAGGGGTGTTCTTTCTGTCAAGTGAACCTGGATAAGAAGACCAGCTGTACACTCTTGCATGCACCACATACCATAAACGTCACACATCACACCATACTCGCACGTACACTTAGACCATATATGACATCAGACACTGGACTCCACAAGACAAGAACCAAATACAACAACATGCGTAAATCATAGTCGTAATACAAATTCGCAACACGGGGACCACATTCGTAAGGTCCCTTGAGCGGTCGCCTTACACAGGTTTCACTGTAATATTGGTTGGCAAGTACAGATCAGTATGGCCAGTGGGGTATGTAGCACATGCACTGAAATCTCTCCAAACTGCGAGTTTTAGTGGAGATTTTGCTACTCTTTCGCCAACTGTGTTTTTTAATTTTTTTACTAAGGCCACAGCTTCCTATCATGACATGCAAATGTGTGGCACAAGCGACGTCATGCGCTGGATCTCTGGCCTTCAGTCCCCATTAAACCGCATGCGACTCAGAGCTTTGGACATTTTGAGGTTAGGGGCAGTGCCGGGTCACGGCCCGCTGGATAAGAGAGATGCAAGTGCAGTGGCTACCTTGGTTTTCCACGAACATTGGACCAATGACCAGCACAGCCTGCTGGGTCTCGGGTGCCGTGCCCTCTATCCACGGAGCCTTGAACCTGGGAAACAGACTCACAATCTCCCTGTCCAGGGGACACACCAGAACAAAAAGAGACAAGCACAAAGGGAATATAGAAAAAGCTAAACCTAAGATCATTACATGTACTGGAGTACAACAATCAAGATCTGTTGGAAAACATATCAAGTACAGCCAAAGAATCATGAACCCCGGAAAGGCTTGGTAAGCGACGTTGGCCGGAGTGGCTTATGATTTGACACAGGCTTTACTTGCTAGTGTTGCTCACCCATCACTACAACCCCCATAATACTATCAAGTCAAGCGCATGTCTGGATGTCAGCCGCACTACAACCTACCGTTCAGCACTGATCTTTGACGAGCTGAGGTGGAAAGCGTTGCGGATCTTATCGCGGCCGTACAGAGCACGGATGCTGTATGCACACGTACAAGCGAACACCCACCAACACATGTGTGTATATAGACAAAACTCAATTATGAACATCCACACCGTCACACGACACGATAAAAGCTAGGAAAGAAAACGTTCGTCCTAGATTGCCAAACGCCAACAGGAGCACTCAATCGCCTCTCCCCCTCTCTATTCTCTCACTTATCTCGAACTCTTTGGTTTTGTTCATTGCTGCTTGCGGCCTAGCGAGTCCATTGATGACGTCACTACTAGTATTTTGTCAAGTGTACTGATGGACTACACGCATCCAGCAACCCCAATGCACCAATGTCCTCTGCTGGGCCCAGTGCACCAATGTCCTCTGCTGGGCCCAGTGCACCAATGTCCTCTGCTGGGCCCAGTGCACCTCTTATGGCTTATGCATGTCCATGTATTTGCTATCTTGCGGCAGATTATCGGGTGCTCTTCCACATGACTGGCAAGAGGCAGTCTCCCACTCAGCACATGATATTTCTCTGGGCAAATAGCGCCTAGGGTTCACTTTGGAAGAGAAAGGCACTGCTGGGACTCACCGATTTAAAACACACAAAAAAAACCGCTACAATGCATTGACTAATCTTCTGCCACAACGTTAGACCTTAGGCATCTACCCCGGCGCAGAAGACAGTGGTAGCAATCAATCATTGCCTACTGTGCGCATTGCATTGAAAGTTGTGCTGGCATTACACCCTTTGCATCACAGCATTCAGAACAGGTGGACTGGCCACTGGCAGCCGCTACGGTATAGCCTGGTCAGCATCGCAAAGCTCTTAGAAGATATTCGTGTCCAGTCAGTGAATCTGCAGTCCGTGCGCCAAGCCCTTGAGTAGCCTGTTTTTTATTTGCAACCGCGGGAAAAATCGAGGTGCAAAAAGATGACGACGACACAATTGTTTTGTTGGTATTTTGCAACCTTATTTGGACCTGAACTGGCGTGTGCTGGAGGAATCCTTGTTCATAACTTGGTTTGCTGCTGAGGTATGTCCCTTTGTCACCTATGGCACTTTAGCTGAGGTTCGTTGCGCCCAACTGTAGACCATGAAGACCTGTGTTTGCACTACATATTTTTTCGTCGTAATCGTACCATCAACTTGCTTGTCGTGCTGGAGTGGATAGCATAATCGGACACTCTCGGCTTATGCTCTAAGCGAAAGGTAGATATATTTGGGTTTGGATTCCCAAAGCACATCCCAATCAGGCTATGCAAAATGGAGCGGCCCACAATTTCGTGGAGGTTTGTCGAATTGTGTGGAATTTTGCACTAAAGTAATTGTGCTTGAACAAGGACGTTTTGGCTGCTTATTTTCCTTGGGCATCTCGACATTGCAAACTAGTCCCGTTGCTGTTGTGTCTTCGACATCTAAACGGAATTTCTATGTAAGTCGTGTGGTTGGGGTCCAGATTTTAATCAAAATCCAGCAGTATTCCTGGCTGCTAATCTAGTTTGCTAAAGTTCTGGCTGAAGGTAGTCTGTTGAACAGTTTCTTTTGTATGTACCATGGTCAGATGGTAGGACGTTCATTACATAATTATAGATGGAGTACTTAGTCAAAGAAACTTTTTATGTAGTTTAGCACAGCTGCACAGAAGTGCAGGGCCTGAAACAAAACAAGAGCTGGAGACTCAGCGTCCGCAGCATATGCGAATGCATTGTGAGAGCATGTGTCTTCGAATTCAGCATCACACGCATATGCACACTCACACACACACACACACACGCGCGCGCGCACACATACACACCACACACACGCACGCGCGCACATCTGGCGCTGGTTGGGTGTTGCATACTGAACATTCTGTGCTTGCAGCCTTATCTTGATCATGTGTGATAGTTGTGTCACAGGTTTTTGCCCTATTTTCTGGATTCTCTGTGCTTTCTGTAGATGGTCTTGTGCGCTCGTCATCAACAGCACTACACTACTGTAGGTCCAGTGGGCCAATCAGGCTGAACGGCATCATCCAGCTGTGACTGGGGTGTAGGTAAGTGTCTCTGCGTGCTCTGATGGTCGACTTGTGGCTTCTGGCCTTCAATCATTGTTCTTGCACGGGACCTGCCTCGCATACCCTGTGGTTCACTCGTGTTGGCAGGCTGTGATGCACAGTGGAATCCTTGATGTGGCACTCGGTGTACATGTATGTTGTTGCACGCGACAATATTGCTACTGATGGGTTTTGGTGTGATGCTCTGAATAGATGTACCATGAAAGCCTCTTGATTGGTCTCCGCAGTACATTCGCTTGCCTGGCTCGTTTTTGTCGATATTATCCACTGTTGCAATGGAGAACTTTGCGCGAGGTATCTCACTGTTCATTCCGAGCTCTGATTTCTTATCAATGATGGTCTTTTGATATCGCTTGTAGGAGTCGACACCTGCTGTTGCGCCGGCTCGAGCTGATACTCGCATGAGCTCGCTGGAATTGCTATGTGCATCCACAAAATCCGAAAGAACAAGCTGGAAAGGGTAAGTGCATGCTGGTGTGCTTGCATGCATCATGCATGATAGCACAAACAAGCACCTGATCCTCTTTGCACGGTGGTTGGATGCTTGACTTCCTTCTGACTTTGATTGGCCGTACATCATCAGCCAAATGTTTCCCCACAACTCACTGTCCACACTATCCACCACTGCGTCCAGCTTCATTTCCGACAGTGAAGTTAGAACGTTCTGCTCTTTGTGTTTGAATTCTTGTGCTTGACTTTTGATTTGTGAGTGCATTGCAGCCGACAGCTCTGACACGAAGGATGATGGGCCACTGGGTTGGCTTGTGTGCTGTGTGTGCTGGGTTTCATTTTGTGCTCTGTGTTTCAGGGTCTCGGATCGTGCAACGGCGAGGGAATTGTATAAGCACAGAACTGTGTCACACCCTGTACGGTACAGGAGCGTACCTCGTTTCTTACTGGTACCATATGACCCATGGCTGAGATGAGTGCCAAGCTTCGAAATAAGGCTGGACAGTAGCCACCGGTTGTTGCAGTTGATGGATGGTAAAGAAGAGGTGAAGAAATCAGCAGCCGTTGCCAGAAGAAGAGAACGGTTCTCGAGGAATTCAAGACAGATGAATCTTGCTGTTGCCAACAATGCGGACTCCTCGGGTGAGGTGCACTGGTGCGTTTCGTCTGTTATACTCTGCATCAGGCTCTCCAGCTTGAAGTCAGTAGTCTGACTGTCCACCATATCCAGTTGGCCTTTATAACAGGCTAGGCAAAAAGCACTATCCGCGGTGACCGTAAGACCACGCTCAGCGTGCAGCTGACGTTGAACGACTCCGACGTTCGGACATTTACGCTTAATTAACACCCCTTATTTGTGCGCTGCACATGGTGCATGTGGGCCTGTTGCTGTCATGTAGCTGCATGTTATGCCGGTTGCAGAGACTCGCTGGCTGATCGTTTAATGCTTGTAATGAAAGTCTACTGCTCTACTGCTTGTAATGAAACTGTGACATGCCGTGGCAAGTCACAACCATCTACTGAGCAGTCTGGTGTTGTTGCGAGTACGGGTACAGGTGTTGGTGGTGGTGCTGCAACATGCTGTGCAGGCATTGCTTCTGTAGGCTGCACGTTGTCAGTGACAGGCATTGGCTCTGCTGAATGATTTATGAGCCTTTTCATGCATTTCTTGCAGATACATGCATTTCGTGGTATTGTAGGATGCTGTGCATATTCCCAGCATTGCGTGGTCTCGGGGTGGGCATATCTGCCATCAAGGGGAACATCTTGGCAGGCTACACATGGTCCGCATTGCCTGTCAGGATGCAATTTCGAGCCCTGGCTTTGGCGGCCTATTTGGACTTGGTCACAGTGCGGACACTCGTGGTTTCTTCCTGGCCTATAGCAACACCATCTGTCCGCCCATTCGCGTAGTTTTATCAGAGATAGAGCCTTGCAAAATAAGACGGCCCACAATCTCCTGCGACGTATCTACGAAATGGGAAATTGAGAAGAGAAACAAAAAGGCACCGCAACGACGTGAGATGTCGAATATCGTGGTGCACTTTCGAAAATGTGCTCATCACTCACCCTTCTAACACGATAACGGCGCAAAAGCAATCGATATAGGAGGATAAGCCTGTATTCTCAAGGTAACCAATTGTCGAAAATTGAGAAGAATTCGGTATGTCACTAAATTCGTCTTCAAATTTCCCGCGGTTGCAAATAAAAGTGCAACTTTTAGACGCCTTTTTTGAACTTGGCGCACGGACTGTCTGTATAGCCGGCGGTAACGCGGACGTGCAAACTTTACTTTTAGAGTGAACCCTATAGAGGTTATTCGAATGACTCATCGTAGTACATATGCCACTCAGCCAGAAGTCAATAGAATAATCACTTTTCAGCGGCCACTCAGAAGTCAATAAAATATCACTTTTGCCACTCAGAAGTCAATAAAATCACTTCTGCCACTCAGCTGGCGTCCATATTAGGGCTTTCAGCATCTCAGTACGCATTTCTCCCGGTTTGCCACTCAACTGTCTTCCTTTATAGCAGTGTATGATGTCATCGCATAACCTCTATATATGGGAACGGGATGGAAATCAGTCTGACCTCTCCGGATAGTTGTCCTGTGCATCCTCGACGTCAATGGGCCCGACGATTTCTCGCAGGTCGGCTATCAAGTTCTCCACTTTGCCCTTCTTGGTGATGATCAGTATGACATTGGGACCACTGCACAAAACAAGCCCAACAGCATGACATACATACATGTGTAATGTTCTCTCCTGACGCTTGCTTTTGAGCGTGAAGCTCTGAGTTGAGATAAGGGAGTAGTAAAATACCGGTATTTTACTACTCCCTGGTTGAGATATTTCTGTTTCACCGGATTTCCGTTTGTATATGTACATGAACAGCGGAGTGAAAAAAGCTTGCCATTGCTTCCTAACAGCGTATGTGTACTCAAGTTGTATGTGATCACAACCGTGTGACTGCGGTGTTGTGGTGAACATTGCTGCACGTACCTCGTGATGTGCTCGATGTGTTCCTCATAGTTGCTCTGTGATGGGTGCCGGAAGGAAAGTCAATAAAATTGAAGCATCCACGCACATACATACACAAACACACACACACACACACAACACACACAACACACACACACACACACACACACACACACACACACACACACGGGACTTTGTTGGCAACAATAGGCAATGCGAACAGAAACGTTTTGTAACACACTGTTTTCTTTGTTTTGCTTACCCTGAAATTCCATCATTGGCAATATGTGTGCAGCATTGCATGCAAACTTCAGTGTAGCCACAGTGGGCAAGTAAATTGACCCAGCTATGCTCTCCTATTCCCTGTTTGCTGCATCATTACTTGCATGAAAATTACATCTTTATGTGATGCCGTCTTGGATATTTGTATGAGTGTTGCAATAGCAAGCTACAGCGCGCCCGCGCGCGCACACACGCACACACACACACGCGCACACGTGCGCGTCCCATCCTGGGCTACACAAATTCTACTTGTCTTGCAAATTCCTCCCAGGAAGAAGGCATTATCAGGGAAAAGATGTTGCAGTGCTAATTGTTCTTGAAGTCTGAATTCTGCTGTCCGTGTCTTTACCTCTTCCTTCAATGACGAGAACAGCTCCTCTGCTACTTCGCGTTCAAAAGTCATTTCCTTGCGCTTCAGTACTTGAAATCCAGCATCAATTGTCTGTGCATGCACACATATCACCACACCGATGAACACAGACATATGCACGTGCACACATATGCATACATGCACGCACACACACACACACACACACACACACACACACACACACACACACACACACACACACACACACACACACATGCAGACACACACACACACACACACACACACATACACACACACACACACACACACACACACACACATGCATACATGCACACACGTACAGGCAGTAGCAAGGTCAGGCCAACAGACCAACACAAGCAGTGCCACGGAAATGGGAGATATGCATTCCGTGGGGCAAGCTGTCCCGTATTTGGCAGGCACAACTTGTTTTAGTACATTTGTATGGCCTTACACCGGTTCATGGCCTTTTTAAGCAGAGCTGGTATCAAGGTGTGTATGGTTGCAGTGGACTGTCCCCGCAAAACTCAATGACGGGAACATGATGCATATGCTGTGGGATTGCTTGGGAGAGAACTGAGCCCACTCCCCACACTCACTCAGGGGTGGGAACAACATTGCCGACACAGCTCACCGCTGATACGGTAAGCTATAGAGTGGTGTTCACATCTTGGTCATGTGACTAAAGTTGTGCAGAAAGTGATCAGGTCATGTGGACAGTGGAGACAACATGGCCGACAGCATGTGACCCATAGATGCAGGGGTTGAGTGGAGTAGGTACCAACATGGCTGTCCTCTATGGTCATGTGATAGATGTTAAACCAATCTATACAGATGACAGGTGTGAGCTGTACACTCGCCGGGCTCTGGCTCTGCCTCTCACCTTCTGCACGATCTCTTCTGCTTGCTCCGGCAAGACGTCCGGCTTCAGAACCATGAGCGCGAGCTGCTTTCGGATTGGTACTGCAGGAGAAAACAATGAGGCACGTGGTCACACATGTGATAGGTCAAGCAGTCACTACAGTGACGAGAATTAGCTCTCTCACAGCCCAGTAGTAAACCTCTCATCCTCTGCACTACACAAACTGTCAGGATACTGAGGGCCATAGCACCCTGTCTGGCCAGGACCGGACCTTATTTCGAAAAAGTTGACCCACGTAATTCATGTTCTCGTCAATATTAAGTTAAATGTTCTTTTCGGTCAAGTATCCCATTCGGCTGGACCACCTGAAATCCAACTGCTACAGCCCCGCAGGACCCATCCTTATTTGGGATTGGCAAGCTAAGTGACAGTAATACCGATAAGAAGGACACACACCTGGAAAGTTTTACCAGTATACTTTCATGCCTTTTCATCAGGGAAAATACAGGTTAGCCCCCGTCCCTCACACAAACAAGTCAACAAAGCGGCATCTTTGGATTGAGGGGTGCTGGTTTCGAAACAACTGGTTTGAAGCTCAAAGTAGAGCTGCTGTTAGCTCAAAGTAGAGCTGCGGTTAGCTCAAGGTAGAGCTGCGGTTAGCTCAAGGTAGAGCTGCTGTTAGCTCAAAGTAGAGCTGCTGTTAGCTCAAAGTAGAGCTGCTGTTAGCTCAAAGTAGAGCTGCGGTTAGCTCAAAGTAGAGCTGCGGTTAGCTCAAAGTAGAGCTGCGGTTAGCTCAAAGTAGAGCTGCGGTTAGCTCAAAGTAGAGCTGCGGTTAGCTCAAAGTAGAGCTGCTGTTAGCTCAAAGTAGAGCTGCTGTTAGCTCAAAGTAGAGCTGCTGTAAGCTCAACGTAGAGCTGCAATGCTAAATGGATGTAATATAGCTCAAGGCAGAGCTGCAGCAAATAGCTAGATAACACCAGTTGTGAGAGTGGACCCGATCAGTGGGTACGATAATCATAATGATTGTGTGAATAAGTTGGATAGGGAGGGATGGTGGGAAAAGCAACACTGCGGAAGCACGATCTGCTGTCTGGAGGAACACAACAGGGCAAGCACGATTTGTTTTCTTTTCAGCAAAACGGGCTGAGTGCCATTTGTGATTACGCAGCAAAGCAAAGCGCATGACGTCAGTCTTGAAGGCAGCAAAGAGTAATGCAGTGCAGCGTGCGCGCTAGTTCGGGTTGTTGCTAACGAGTACTAGCACAGCTAGTACCCCAGAAAATCAAACAAAAAACTCACAGCCGGTGCAATAACATTCTATTTAAAAATGCAAAACCTGGGTTGACAACGCCGGTGTTAGTGTGTGAACAGCCTCGCGAGACAGACCTACCGATTTTGTTCCTCTCGGCCTCAGCCGCAGCCTCCTCTGCAGCACGCTTGGCTGCAAGCTCCTCGAAGAAGGTGTCGTTGAACTGATCACAGTGGGCGTGCGTGTATGAGAAATCGACACAAACAGACAGCCAAAATGTCATCTTCACTTCAAGTTGAAAGTCCTGTGTAACACTGAGGTGTAAGCGGTGTATTTATACTAAGACATCCATACAGTACAATATACCCTGTGCTCATCATTCGTATTTCCCGCTCCTTTGCCATACTAATTAGAATCCATCAGGTATAGAAAGAGCGCGTGCGCCAGTGGTTCCCGTCTTCTCTTGTCTCTCCTCTCTCGTACTTCTTAATCTTCCATATCCCTTACTTCTATCATAATACTATGAAGCTATAAAAAACGTCTTCTACGAGTCGTAAGGGGACTGCATGTTTAGCCGGGAGCTAACACCTGCAATGAAGTCCATTCCAGTCTATGCTGCTATAGACACTCATGGATAAACCGAGACTAGTAGACATGTAGAATGGACTTCATTAATTTTAGACTGCAAAGCACCCATGTTGTCCAGCGGAAAACAAATGAATAACACACATCACAGTAACAGTATGTACACTGTAGAGAAGAGATAGAAGAACAAAACGGTAAACAAAGTCTCAAACGAAGAACACGACGTACAAATTCAAATCTATAATTCGAAGCAATAAATAGTTGTTCATTATGGTATCATTATACTTGTGTAGAAAGAGGCGAACTATTCTTTTTCAAGATCCAGCTGTTACATATATTTTGAAGTACATATAGCGGTATGCACATTGAATCATTGAAGCATCCTTACCTCAGCCCTGTCGACCTGTCCCTCCAAAGCCATGTGCTCTTGCTTCAGTTCGTTGACGATTGTCTTTTCGATGAGAGGCCCATCCGCGCCACGGATGACCTTGACCAACACTTCACCAGTCTAGAGACCGTAGCACAAACAACCAAGACAGTAATGCATGAGCAAGGACACTCACATACATACATTATTACATACATACACCTGGTCCTGGTACCTGCACACACACACATACACACACACGCACGCGACACACACACACACACACACACGCACGCATGCGCATATACAAATACAAATACAAAAGCACACACAGCCAAATGGGACATTCACTCATGTACCAATATACTTGTACAAAATTATGTTTCTTTGAAGTAGAGTCAAACCTCTTTAGGACGAACATCAAGGGACCGATGATATTTGTTCGCAATAACGGGAGTTCTTCTTATCCATATGTTTTACCCAGTGAATACACAGGGTTTTATCCAATACAGTTATCCAATACAGTTACGAATACTAGTTCTTCTTAGGCAAACATTTGTCTTATCAGTTATCAGTGTTCTTTCTAACGAGGTTTCACTGTACATGTGATACTGTACTTGGCTTCAGCAACCAGCCATGTACTAAACCTATCATGTTCTGTGACTGCAAGTTGTCAACACATTCGGTACCAAAGAATAGTGATCGGACAGACCAGGTGTCTGCTGAACCCGGTAATGACTTGATCAGGTTTCAACAGTCGATCAAATCCTGACGACAGTGCTTTGATTGGGCGGGAATCAAACAGCAGCTCAACCAATGCAGCGTACATGTATGCTGCAAGTCACGTGATGCACGATTCAACAGCTTTAGTTACTAGTTACTAAGTAAACAAATTCACTGGGCCCGACCATGCCTACCATGCGGCCAGCACTCACCGCGACAAACAAGAACGTTGGCTGCGACCTGCCACGGTACTCCTTCAGTGCCTCGATGCCATCTGCCTCGGCCTGCACACAGCATGAATCATACACAGTGCAGGACCATAGAAACTGTTGTAGCATAGCAATGTGTTTTCCAGGCTTATCCGGCGGTGGAAGGAAGAGGGGCAGCAGTGCATTTTCCAGGCACATAGGCAAAGTGTATACGCAATACTGTAACTTAGACAGCAAGCTGGTTCCATTTCAGAACATGTTCACCCTACATGTAGAAATATCACACTCAGTAAAGTCATTACTGTATGCCACATGACCCAGAGACAGTCCAGTTTGCTCAAAGGTTGAGGTTGAAATGCAGTTTAAGACACTAGGACTACATTGTAGGGAAACCTACCAGAGCAAACCGCAGCATGTCGTCACCAAGCTCATTGCGCAGGCGCCTGAACAGAGAAACGATTGCCTTGCACGGACCGCACCACTTGGCGTACACATCCACCACTTCACGTGCACAAACAAATACACACACACAATCACACACGTACACACACAAACACACATACATACACACACATGCACACACACACACACACACACACACACACACGTACACACAAACACACACACACAGAGCACATGCGTTTAGTACCCTATCTCAGAATGAGCAAATCCATGTCACCATGTACATGCAGCTAGCAGGACCACCGGAGGCAGGTTCTGAACGGTCCGGCCATGCCATAGCCGTTCATACTTTGTGTGTGATATAGTGGGTACACATGACCTCCTCAGCTGTAAACATGTGTTGGTCTCCAACTTGACTGGTTCCGGTGGGCCTTTCAGCTAGGTATGTATGGATGGGGTGATTGCTTGTTTCTCTCCCAGACTGTAGTACTATATGCACGGCCACCCTAATGGACTGCTAGCGGACTGCATTCTCCATTATTGTGCCTTTGCCACCATGGACACAGATCTGTAACCTCCGTTTCAAACGTTCAATCAGACATAATATCGTAATTGCTGTATCGTCGCACTTCGCACCCTGCCTAAGAAAGCTGATGTAATTGTGCCATGGTGAAATCAATCATGCAGTTCTCCCTCAGGATGATAGTACAGTCACACTTTGCTTAACCACACATCCGTTTCCACAAGAATATCCGGATAGGCGAGGGAACCGGATAACCGAACACCGGCTGTGTTGGATGCATCACGTATGCTGTAAATATGTAACCAGCTATTTTCTTCCGGGTGGCGAGGGATCCGGATAGCCCCCGTTTTCTTTCGACGCGTTTGCTGTGCAGTGAAGCCGAGACCCTAGGTCGGTGGAGCACATCAGACCCCGTCACCACGTCCACGATTCATGCCTGCGATGCTGCACCGCTGCTTTGCATGTCATGATTGGAAGCTGTGGCCTTAGTAAAAAAAAAAAAAAAAGAGGACCGGATAAGCGAGGTCTGACTGTACTATGGGTCACTGCTATCTTACCTGTGAGGCCTTCTTTTCTGAGCATCTTATGGTAGTCATCATCACTCTTCAGCTGGTGCTGTGCATATGCACACACACACACACACACACACAGCGCCAGTGACACAAACACATCACGGAACCTGTGTATTGCTGTGAACGCTGATTACCACAATCATCGCACCGCATTTATGAAAGCTCCAGCGTCACATGTACGTCGTTCATATCACCTGCGTTGACGGGCCTCGCTGCTAGGAGTCGGGTATGCATACCAACATCCTGTGCTCCGCCATTCCGTACCGTTTTGAAATTTGACATAGTCTGGAGCCGGGGAGCTCCATACTCTCTCTTTTTCAGTCTCTCTCTCTCTCTCTCTCTCTCTCTATCTCTATCTATCTCTATCTCACACACTGACACACTCACTCTCTCTCTCTCTCTCTCTCACATACACACACACACACACACACACACACACACACACACACACACACACACTGAGTGACTCTCTCTCTCTCTCTCTCTCTCTCTCTCTCTCTCTCTCTCTCTCTCTCTCTCTCTCTCTCTCTCTCTCTCTCTCTCTCTCTCTCTCTCTCTCTCTCTCTCTCTCTCTCTCTCTCTCTCTCTCTCTCTCTCTCTCTCTCTCTCTCTCTCTCTCTCTCTCTCTCTCTCTCTCTCTCTCTCTCTCTCTCTCTCCTGCTCTCTCTCTCTCCTGCTCTCTCTCTCTCTCTCTCTCTCTCTCTCTCTCTCGCCACAAATACACACACTGAAGTATGCCAGGATAAGAAGTTTTTTGGATGTACTATGTGCACTTTTCTGATCCCAATGGAAGTTTCTTATCAAAATTCTACTAATACAATATAGTCACATACACTTTTCTGTCATTGGCTGATCCCCCCCCCCCCCCCTTGGATTTAGGACTGGATTGACAAAAATCCGCGGTACCGGGAACACCCCTTCATACACCATGTACACCCTCCTGGCCAATAATTATTATAGCAGTTGAACTCCACTGCTTTGCAGTGAGAGCCCGGTACACGGTGCATGTGGAAACGCACTGCCATGCACAGCAGCGCATTGACCCTCTGAACACCACAAAAAAGTCACTTCTTCAGGGGTAGCGAGTCCCGAGGAGTATCCGAGATTGCAAACTAACCTGCAATATGACCTCTTTCTTCGCCGGCATAGTCGTGAAAGGCGAGTCTCTTCACTAATCGTCAAGCGCAAGCTATGAGCTAGCGTATTCCGAATGCCTCAGTGAGCGTTGCCGTTGTCGGCCGACCGGCCAGCTGAATGTTCGACCCGTCCGGTTGTCGCTACTGGTCGCAGTTGTAGTCGGAATGCCATCCAATGGTAAGCAAGAGCGTTGTACCTTCCCCTGCGTGCCGCTAGTAATGCTCGCCGAAACAAATATTGACCATGTACGGATACGTTGGCCCTAGGCTAGAATGGCAGCAATGGGGTTTGTCGAGGAACTAGCTAGTAGCATGAACTCGGAATGGACTTGTCCCGATGTTATTCATTCGCATTTTGTTCTGTTATTTTACTGCCTGGCAAGTGTCCGCGCGAGTACACAGATTTCTCTGCGTTCTTGGGACCCGACATGCAGTCCCGACCGCGCCCCATGCACTCACTGACTGCGAGCACTCCGAGCAGTTAGTACAGTGCTGTCCGACACACTCACTCAGTGGTTACTTCAGAAGCCGCAGCTTTTTAAAGCTTGCCAACCTCTCGAGCCTGGCTGTTGCTGTGTAGACTGTAGCCTAGGTCCACATGCACGGACGATGCATGCATGCATCACTCGGGCCAAGAAGCACACAGCACAGGCTTTGTTTTGATACCCATGCCATGGTGCCGCTGATCGTCGGCTGCTATGCCAACACTGATGTAGGGTGGCGGTGTGACATGGCAACCAGGGAGTCATAAAATACTGTATTCACGACTCCCTGGTGGCAACCACGCAGCCAGAACCAGGAATCATGTACATGGATGAGCACAACTCGCTCCATGCCATGATTTATCCGGATGAGACTTACCGGTACTATCGGAATCAGCTTTCTTGCAATCTTGGAGACAAACGTGGGGCCAAATTAAAGTTACCGGTAAGAGCAGATCTAGCTTGGCGCCCCCCACAAACAACATTATGAAAAATGTCCACGGGTGCTTCCACTGCCCTCTCGTCAGGTGGATACTGGCAGAAATGAAACTAGCCGAGCACAATAGCTAATGTATAATGTACAATGTAAAGGCGAGAAAAGCAGCAGTAGGAGCAATAGCGACAATAATACACACACAGAATACATGGGAACTGGAAAGGTATGAACAGGTCAGCGAAGCCGGGTGTGATATGTATTGTGATAACAATCAGGGAGTCGTACAAACCCGCTGTGACCCAGGTTCACACGCCCCGTGCCTGCCAGTACCTGATAAGCAGACAACAACTGTACAAAGTGGAAAGAACCATAATGCTGTGATGGTGTGCTACCAAGGAGACATAACCGGGGGGGGGGGGGGGGTGTTACTCAATCTGCGGGCAGAACTGTTTCGTCCTTTGTGGACTCATCATACCGGGGGGAGGGGGAGGGGGAGGGGGAGGGGGAGGGGGAGGGGGAGGGGGAGGGGGAGGGGGAGGGGAGGGGGGGTGTTATGGACTCTTGGTGCTACCCATCAGTCTAAGCGCAAATGTCACGGTTCTGTTTCTGAGCATGTTTGTTTCTTTGTGCGAATAAAGACACCTTCCAAATCTCTAAACAGGCGACGAGGCGACACCAGTAAAAGTGGATTTGATATTCGCGATGAAAGGGACCAGCTGAATCGACATGACTATTGCAAGGCTGTGATGCACAATCAAGAAATTGTTTCCAAATCATCAACACCTTTTTCTACACGTGACAGGATCGAGAAACAAAAACAATGGTCCGAATACACACATCACGCCATCCAGGTTGCGGTCAAGCAAGTGCATAGCAATGGACGATTCGTATTGGTTAGAATCATGCATTTCCGGGGCACCTCTGTTGTCGCCGACACCACTTGTGCGCGATTATGACTTGCTCTTGGTCTATATTGATTTGAGAATCAACACTTTCCATGATGAGAAGGCAATTAATTCATTGCACTGCTTGTGGATTTTGTTGTTGATATATTCGCGAATGTGTGATGATCGCGAAAACAGAAAATAGCGAAAGCTTCTCATTTTACAGTAATGATTTAAAAGTTCACACAACCGCATTTCCACCGGCCATACAATTGTGTTGAGAAACACAGCCTGCTGACAATTACAAGAAGTTTTGTCACCACCATGCTGGAGTAGACCAAGGTGACAGATGCAGCACCTGGCGGCAAGGGTTAAGTGGTACTACAGTGGAGATTGGATATAACGACACTCTTTTGGGAGAAAGCAAAATGTCGCTATATTCGATCTGTCACTAAACCCGATCTTCACATTTAGTATGCAATATGTATATCAAAATGACAGAAATGTAATGTAGATATACATGTACATGATTGTACATGTGGATAATAGATATGTATGATTGTACAGTCATGTGTCTGGCATGCATTGTTCAAGGTAAAGCCATCCCGCACCGCTGCACTGCGGCTACAACGTGCAATGTAAAGCACACGTGAGTGACCCGGAGGTCTGGGCACGTGGCACAGCCATAATATACCATGTTCCAGACATGCCAGTCTGCCTGATACAAGAGGAAAGTCGTTATATCTGATGTATTTTCACTGTTTTTCAGGTCTTCGGGCACCAAAAAAATGTCGGTTAATTCGATCTGTCGTTATTTTCGAGGTCGTTATACCCGATCTATAATGTACAGAAATAAAAAGGACTTGCTAAGCGACTTGGGCAACAGAATTGTGTCGCTAAACTCGATTTGTCGTTATACCCAAAAGGTCGTTATATCCAATCTCCACTGTACTAGTAAGCAGGGAGTCGTAAAAATTAATACCGGTATTTTACGACTCCCTGATAGTAAGTCTCACAACCAGTGTTCGACACAGCCATTTTTGCTCTCTCGACTGTTTTCACAGCCATGTTTGCTCGTTTGTCTTCCGGTGCTGTTGAGGTTGCACTCGTAATTGTGTTTATTTTGCCCTTACAAGAGGCTTGATCTACTCTGTAAAAAAAACAAGGAGGGGGGGGGGGGGGGCTCGTTTAATAGCTGCATCCATGTTGCCCTCACCCCAAGTAGTGAGTACCAGGGAGTGCCCATAATGATTAGCCCGGCACTAAACGCTCGTGGACCCACGTCGGGCGGAGTTTGCCGCCTGACGGTGGGCTCCATCCCAATGACATCGGCTGCAAAACTGCGTGTACCGCTTTGTACCACTTCTAATCAGAGCATACGGAGGTTGCACTATCGATATTCAGTGCGTTATGCAATCTAAAGACTAAACTGTTCAAGCGCATGAATATCTGCAAGTCTACAACGCATTCAAGTATAAGAGAAAAACTTCAATAATCTAGTGAAGGAGTAGAAAGAGAAGGAGAAAAGAAGGAGAGAAGTTCACACAAGAGGAACAACAATGACTGTACTGACATGCTCTTGACTATTGTGTGAGTGCCCGGCAGTGTTGTGCTTGCAGGTGAAACTCCCCGCTGCGCACAGACACTGTTGTTCCGTGTGGTATAGATGCACCACTGGCAAGGAAGCAGCCAGGGCCTTTTGGTTAGCCTAGATTACATTATCTACAATAAAATTATAATATTCAAAAAAAGAGAATGATCACGTGAAGGGTCAAGAAAAGTTTCACAAAGAGTTGCGCGAGAGGAGCAGCACATCGACCAGGGCATCCCGGCGCAGTTCGTCGAATCATATTTAGCAGCAAGTGTCACTGTAGCTGCACATCATCACCTGCACACAGAGCCAGTCGACTGCTAGGCTTAGGTCAACTTCACTGTGTGTTTTGCATGCATGCAGCGACAGGTAAAGACCAGACAGTGCGGAGCAGGGAGTAGTAAAATATCTACTCCCCGGGTGCAGAGATAACATTCTGTAGATCACTGTTCGCACAGCTACCAGTCATTTTGAGAGCGAGAAGCAATGGAAGACGTAATGCAGGTCCCGGCTGCGACGGCCGTAGCAGCACAGCAGGGCAGAAGGTGGCGTGCGGTTAGCCAGCAGCGTGTCGTACCTGGCATGCTGCAGCTGCGAGAGCATTGCCGTGGAAGCGGCTTGACGCACGATCACAAGAGTGCGTACAGGAGAAATCAAAGCAACACTGAGCCCTGATGATATTGATGACGGCACTGATGATCAGATGATGATGTCATTGACAATCAGACGACGACAATAGCTACCCTATGATGCCATACTCAATGCACTTAGTCAAGGAAGAAACTAGATATTAGAGAAATTCAGTCTGCTAACAGTGCTCTGTGCCTGACCAGGAGGTGTGTGTAACACGTGTGTTTACGTCAGGTCTAGGCAAGCGTGGCACCCTGGTTGCTGGCCTGGGCATTGTTGAGCTTACAGTAGGCACCCTTCAGGGCCATCAGCTCGGAGTGCGTGCCCTGCTCCAGGACCTGGCCACCGCCGAGGACGATGATCTTGTCGGCGTTGTGGATGGTGGAGAGGCGGTGGGCAATCACCACGCTGGTGCGGCCCTGACGAGCCACATCCAACGCCTGTTGCACGACCTGTGTACATGCACACACATCAGAAGAAGCCAAAAATAATATCAACATAGCATCCAAGACATGTTAGAGCTGACTGTCAGTTAGTTGCAGAATACCAGTGCCGTCGGTCAGTATGGTGCAATGTTGTCGCATGAGCTGACTGTCAAGTAACCGGTGGTGCTAGTGGACATTATAGCCTAACTTGTAGTCCCTTGGTACTTTTCTTTGCTATAAATTAATCCTGGGCTCTCCAACCGAGAATATCATTATTTCATGATCAGCTTTTTCACGTTGACATCATCCAGCAAGCTTGGCTAGCCCTCGCATAAGTTAGGAAAGAGCTACAAACAATAATTTACACAATAGCACATTGCATGATGGCGTTAAAAAAAAAACATGATTTGTATTATCATCGCCAAAGCCACTACCGCCTCTTCTTCGCATGGTTTGTATAAGAAGAGGACGGTTGGTGGCCATCAACCCTGAAAACCGTAGGGACATTCAAAGAGATCATGCCCAGCATCAATGCAACCTGAGATGTCCTAGCCCGGAGAACAAGTAGAAAGATTGTGATGCTCACCCGTTCGCTCTCCGTGTCCAGAGCGCTGGTGGCCTCGTCCAGCAGAAGGATCTTGGGGTTGCGGATCAGAGCCCGGGCAATGGCGATACGCTGCTTCTGACCACCGGAGAGCTGTGTTCCCTTGGCTCCCACGTTGGTGTCATATCCCTGTAAACGATGATGATAACAACATGATGACGAAACAGCAGCAATCAGTAAAGTAACGTGTTACCTCGTCTCTACTTTACACTATATGCTGACTGTATGTACAATGAGAACATGATTGTGATAAACTTGATAAACAGTAGGATGGAATGAGCTACCCAATAGAGCTGCGCACTCACAATGTCATGTACAGTAACACTCTCCTACTTGTAATCCAAACTCCCTAGATTCGGGCACCCCTGACAACTGTGTTACCCCTCCGGAGTCACAAAATTGCCTGCAATGAAAAACGGAACCAAGACCAGTTTCTAATGATTGGAATAACAAAATGTTAACATTCACTAGTGCGTGCATACTACAAGTATGTATGTCCCGTGCTGCTGCCAATGCCTAGTTTCGGGCGGTGCCAGGTCCCAAGGTGCCCCAGGTAAGGGGACTACTACTGTACTCTTGCTAGTAGAGTAAATATGACCCCTCAAGGGACCATCACAACATAGTCTCTGTTACCAGGTGGCCTCCTTATCCAGGGCCAATTGACTTGGAAATAGCATCCCAATGGTCCGAGTTGCATTGGTGATTTAAGACAGGGGTCGCCTGACAGGTTTTACTCTGTGTGTGCGTGCGCGTGTGTCTGCACCAGCACATGCTGAACTCACACTCGGCAAGCTCATGATGAAGTCGTGGATGTTGGACTTCTTGGCGACGGAGTGGATCTCTTCGATGGTCACCATGCGGTCCAGAGCGCCGTAGGCAATGTTATCGCCGATGCTGGAGTCGAACAAGACCGGCTCCTGCTGCACAATGCCAATCTGACTGCGCCACCAGGCCAGGTTCAGCGTCTTGATGTCACGCTCATCCACCGACTGCACACCACCACACCGCAGCACAGGCAAGGAGAAGAAGAAAGAGAAGATTACACAGGTTTAGGGGTTCAAATAATGGGCGGCACTGCATCAATTGTCATGACAATGGCAGTGAACAACATGTGCCTGGAGCGCTGTCAATCAGACAATTGCATACAGTAAAAGCTTTCATGAGGGCACAATTCTGCAGGAGTTGAATGCATACTAAGCCAGCAGACAAAACTCACATCACGTGGTGCAGTGCCCCCCCCCCCCCCCCCCCCCCCGTTTGATCACAACTTGGATGCACCCAGCATTTTGGGCGCATGGGGCAACAGCCTGACGAGATCAATAGGTTCGTTTACACTGTCTGCAGACCGCTTACTGCTTGGACCTTATAGAGCATCTGAATGCTCAATATATCATAGCAGCTGCACCTCTCGCTGTCCGAGCACAAACGCTTCTAAAAGACTGTAAACTTACAACTACGCCGCCTTCGGGGTCGTAGAATCTCTCCAGCAACGAGACACTGGTACTCTTTCCGCAGCCGGACTGACCGACCAGTGCAATGGTCTGACCAGCTTGCGCTGTAATGGTCGTGCCGTCGAGAATCTGAACGTCGGGTCGAGTCGGGTAGCGGAACTTGATGTCCTTCAGCTCGATATTGCCGGATACCACGTCCTGGATGGGTGGAAAGAGCACAAGTGACATGCGTCATAGTGGCAGTACAACCCTGCTGCAGCAAGTCACACTACAGGACATGTAGTCTTTCTACATGGGTAAATGTGTGTGTTGAGGTACCACCTACAGCATATGTTAGATGACCAGTCTGTTAGTAGTACTGTTGCAGTTGTCATGTAGCCACAACAAAAGTCTCACTGTACACAGTGAGTTACAGCATGGCGTGCAAGTGCACACGAATGCACACACCAGCAACCCCCCCCCCCCCCCCCCCCACCCACACACACAGACACACCAGCCCCCCCCCCCCCCACACACACACGCAAGCACACAGACACTTCACTCACCATGCGCTCGCCCTCGTCGGAGCCGGAATCGATCTCCGGCACAGTGTCCAGCAGCCTGAAGATACGCGCTGCAGCACCGCCTGCCTTGGAGAGCTCCGGTGCGAATGCGGCAGACTGGCCCAGGGAGAAGGCCCCAAACACCATGGATCCAAAGACACTAAGGCAAACACACAAGACAGAATAGTTCCACAAATTGGCCTAAGGAGAAGGCTCCAAACAACATCCATCCGAAGACACAATAGACAGACTAGTTCTACTGCAAGCAAGATAGCATAGCGGACTGGAGTACTGGAAAAAGATGAGACCAAAACAATAAAGCAGTGAGTGCGTTCGATTATACCCACGAATCGATTCATGAATCGATTCGCGCTATTCACATCACCCCATGTGAATAGGGTGAATGGATACCGAATCGATTCCAGGGCTCATGACATGAAAATCGAACGACTTGAATGCATGCGAATGGATTCATGAATCGATTCAAGTGCATAATCGAACGCAGCCACTATGGGGCGCAGGCGAAAAAAGCAGGGATGAAACAATCGTGAAAACTAATTTCCTAGTTACCTAAAGGATTACGGCTAAATCTAACGACCTGCTTAGCAACACTCATGCATGTCATTTACTTCAGTACAGGTGACATGTTCATTGGTTACTACTGCACTTGATTCTTACGTGAAGACATCGGTGAACGTCGCCAGTCCCTGCTCGATGAGGAAGGCGCCGAACGCGAAGCAGATGGCGTAGACGAAGAAGAACGTGGCCTCGCTCATACCGGTGGCCAGCGCCTGGAAATGCCTGGCGCGCTTGTGCCCGCTGAAGAAGGAGACAAGTACCGGCGACACACACGCGTGCACACACACACATGCACGCACACACACGCAAACACACACTTGTACTGGCTCACTGCCATGAACTGATCATGCGGGTGGAAAAATATGACCCGACTGGCTATCGACCTGCCAACAAATTTATTGGCACTACTTGGTTCTTACTTCATGGTTGTACGCTATTGGCGTTGTGAATAAACCCGTTCTCAACCGTCAGTTCACCACTGTAAGTCTACAAATACTCGGCACATATTTATTTTTGACTATTCTCGGCCGAAATTTTGTTTTGCAAGGTTCAGTGGGACAGTGTATACAGGCGGCAGCAGTACAGGCCGGAAATTTGATGCGGCCGAAATGGGACTAAGCCCTGGGAGGCCGAAATTTGAATGGGCCGAAATTTATAGACTTGCAGTACATACAACAAGTACATGTACAGTCAGACCTCGCTTTTCCGCTCCTCTTTTATCCGGATCCCTCGCCATCTGGAAGAAAATAGCTGGTTACCGATTTACAGCATATGCCATGCATACATACAGTATGTGTGTTTGATTATCCGGTTCCCTCGTCTATCCGGATATTTTGTGGAGAACGATTGTGTGCGGTTATGCGAGGTCTGACTGTACACACAACTTAGACCTACGACTGGAACTAGTGACAGGTGGTTTCTCATGGCAGCAGCAGTTGCGAACACAGGTTGTCCTGGGCTAGTGTTCTCACCGGTACACAGGTTCCAGGATGGCCATGTAGCGCTCGACGGAGCGAGACTCCAGACCGAGCGACACAACGGTGCGAACGTTGTCAATCACCTCGACGGCGGTCTGCAACGACAAGCAACACCGAACAGCAAAGATAAGGACAGGGAAAACTTGTTGAGAAAGCATGCTATTATTATTTCAGACTCAATGCCCAGAAACCTTGAAGAGATGGGACCCGTAACAGCCCAGTTGCACAGGAGATGAAGCCCCCCCCCCCCCCCCATGGGTTGGTAGTACTGCTTTCGGTATTGTTGAGGACCCTGCTCTATGCAATGCCAGGTATTAGACTATGGATAAACAGTACCTCGCCTATGACCTCGGATCAACAGTACCTCGGCTATGCAGTACAGGTTCTTGCGGCCGTTAGAGGTACGTTACATTGTTCCACTTGAAGGGTAAGCAGCGGCAGCATTCGGCCATGTACAGAGCTGCGCTCTCCAGCCGGCCTGGACACGTTGCGGCTACAGACTTCACTATCTACATGTGAAGTAGAGCAAAGTTAGGGGGATTCGCGGCCGCATCACCAGTGACGTGTTTAGGAACGCATCAAGCAAATACATTCGCATCGGCGGGCCACCACTTCGCCCAAATATCCTCAGTGTCGAATGCAGTCCTCACAAGTGAGTCAGTACTCTGGTGCGATGCCAACACCTACATGAACACACACACACACACACACACACACACACACACACACACACGGCTAAACGCACCTTTCCTGCCTCCAAGTACTCGACCTTGTTCGTCGAGCCGTGTCCGGCCAGTGCCTTGGTGTTGGCTGCACCTGCGGCGGCAACCAGCGGGATGACTGCCATGATCAGCAGAGTCATGTGCCAGGAAGCGGAGAAGCTAATCGCCAGCGCCGTAACCAGTGTGGAGATGAGCTGGAAGATGTTTCCGATTTTCTGTCCCGTTGCCTGTGCAAAGAGGACGGGTATTCATATGCACACAGACAGACGCACGCACACACACACACATGTGTGTGTCAGCGACAGACGAGGAGCTAAAGTGAATCAAACACATGATCGTAAGCGCTGACACTAAAAATTTGCACCATAATTCCAATCCACCTGGCGAAATGCAGCTAAAAGAGTGCATACCACAGGAAAGTTTGACCCCCCCCCCCCCCCCCCCCACACACACACACAGACAAAGACATGTATGGCCAGATACCAAAACAAAGAGGGCAACTGAAAAAATAGTCCACTAAACTTACACCCTGGATAAGAGCAGCATCGGCGGCCAAACGGGTGGTCAAGGCTCCTGTGCTGTTCGACTTCTCGTCAAAGAAGGCAACGTTCTGCAAGACAAAAACAAACAGAGAATCTTGAGTTCCCAGGGTAAGAGGTAGGCATCCACGAGGAGATCAGCAGGAACTGCTTCATGCCTTGTGTTGCCTGCTGGCTCCCCAGCCCCATTCCTGCGTGCAACATCCATAGCCAAAGAGACCCCCCCCCCCCCCAACACACACACACGCGCGCACGCACACACACACAGAGAAAGAAACTGACCTGTCTGAGGATGGCGCGGAACGCAACGCTACGCATGCGCTTCGTCAGAGCAGCACCGGATCGGCCAAAGAAGTAGAACTGCGACCCAGAACACACGCGCACACATACACATGCAGGAAAACAGTGACCAATTCATTCATTAAATCCATTATCACAGCGATCAATCCATCACGGTGTCCACAACTCCATACAATCTGCTGTATAATAACAATGAGCCTCTCCATCCCCTACAACTAATGTCATTTCTCCAATGAGAGATGTGTTGTGACCCCAAAAGCACAAAATCGATATGCCCCCTTAGAGGCGATTCACACGCCAGCAACAGCATTCTGCTGGAAGGGCAGCGCGCAACCAGGGGAAAGCGAAAATCTATTCACGACCGCTGCATGCTTATCAGCGGCATGCAGGTGAAACAAGATGCGCAGCCACGCTTGCGTACGTTCCCCAAGGGTTTACAGCATGTAGCATGTGTTGATTTCATTGCTGCAGTACCATAGAATGAAAAATACACTGGTGCTTACCTGACAGAGCAACACTATGAAAGAGCCCAAGCCAAGGACGCAGAACATTCCGGCCCACAGGCCGGCACGGCGGAAGTACTCGTCTTTGTTCGCGGGATTACTTAGAAGCGTGAACACCTGCGAACATGTGCACGTGAAACCACGCACACAGTGACACACACACACACACACACACACACACACACACACACACACACACAGTGACATACGCACGCACACGCGTGAGTATCGTCGTCAAGATATGCCAGCCACTTTTCGGCTAAGACTCCCAGTTTGATGTGTAGCGACCAACGCATCAACTCACATAAGACATGAACAAAAGCACACAGCGCCAGGAGTGTACAACTGCAGTTTACAGGTTTGCGGTTGCTGTTTTATGTCGTTATGCGTTGTTTTCCTATATACAGCAGCAACTCTTAAACCTCGCTAACAATTTAGAAACGAACTGTGTGTGTGCGTGTGTGTGCGACATGGAAACACTAGAATTCACATGCGAGATCAGAGAAAACACTAGAATTCACATGCGAGATCAAAGAAAACACTAGAATTCACATGCAAGAGTAGAGAAAACACTGGAATTCACATGCAAGATTAGAGAAAACACTAGAATTCAAATGCAAGATTAGAGAAAACACTAGAATTCACATGCAAGATTAGAGTCATGCTCCCACACAGTACGGGGGTGTGGCCGGTAGCAAACAAGAGCAGTCGGCGACTTACACTCAGGACCTCGGCAAAGATGATACCGAACAGCGGGAATACGGTGCCGAAGCCGAGAGCGGAGAAGGCGCCCAGGGCCATCGTCGGGAACTCCGGCTTGTTGTACATCAGAATGCGCTTGGTGTCAACTGGTGGAAGATCTTCTTCTTCCTCATCTTTTTCCTCGTCCTTACCACTGACATTGGAAACCGACTTCTTCCTCTGCTTGCACGCACAGAGCGAAGAAGACAGTACACGACACGAGGCAGCAAAGTTAGACAGTCACGAAACACTCTGGGCCATAGCGTGCGAATGCAGAGTTGAAAAAGCATCTGGCTTCTCAGCCATGAAGGCAAAAATTGCAAGAACACGAAGGCTTTAAGCCTTAGTAGAGAAGGACCAATGCAGCTGCCCATACTGGTACCTCCACGCGAGTGAATTGAGGAACAGTAAGATCGGGCGCCGAAGAACACCTCGCCGAAGAACACCCAGGCTGGAAAACCTTCAAAATTTAAGAACAGTCCAGGCTAGAATTATCAGATTTAAGAACACTAGATCTACATTCTTGAAGTTGATTGTTCCAACTAGGAACACACGCTTCTTGCCGAAATTGACACTTGACTGACTCACGACTGCCATCCGGAACACACGAGGAGCACGTCGCACCTTCCACTCGGCAAACCTGCAAGAAAGCACCACTCCCTGCTCAATACACGGTGTTTCGGGGAATTCACCCCTCATCAGTTGAGCTTGAGTAGGCTGAGGAAGATTGTGCCTGAAAAGCACCACTTATATACTGCTCTCCAGGCCAAACCATCACCAGGGATACAAACTTACAGAGACGCTTTGTTTCCAGCGCGACAAACACCTTGTGAAGCTCCAGGTAGCAGCGTGAGTCAGAGTCGCTCATGGAGTTGTGATAAACAGACGTTGAGAGCCAGTATAGCTAGTCGCAACGCTGTCTCTGTAAGTTTGTATCCCTGGTGATGGGTTGGCCTGGAGAGCAGTATATAAGTGGTGCTTTTCAGGCACAATCTTCCTCAGCCTACTCAAGCTCAACTGATGAGGGGTGAATTCCCCGAAACACCGTGTATTGAGCAGGGAGTGGTGCTTTCTTGCAGGTTTGCCGAGTGGAAGGTGCGACGTGCTCCTCGTGTGCTCCGGATGGCAGTCGTGAGTCAGTCAAGTGTCAAGTTCGGCAAGAAGCGTGTGTTCCTAGTTGGAACAATCAACTTCAAGACTATTACCGCCGAAGTCGCAACTTCTAAGTTCGTAGATCTACATTGTACGTAGATCTACATTGTACATGTATGGGAGGTGAGTACATGTCATGTACACGTGTAAACAGTAACTGCTACATGTACAGTCATTCCCATTTACGACACCCACTAGTTTAGAAGTACAGTGTACTACATTGCACTACATGTACATGTATACATGACAAACGTCATGACGTCACTCGACTCGCCGCGCGCGTGTGAATAAGAACGGTCTGGCTAGAATCAAAAATTTAAGAACTTTCCTAGGCTGCGCTCGAACCCCTGCGTTCTTCGGCGCCCGATCTTACTGTATAGCGACTGCATATCATCACCCCCCCCCCCCCATCCTCGCCAGCACGAACACACACACGAACACACACACACACACGAACACGCACACACACACACAAATGCCAGTACATGTACAGACACTGCACATAAAAGCACAGCAATAGAGCTGGCTGCTACAACTGAGGCAACATGGATGTGGCTGCTCACCTTGCCCGCGCTATCAGATGTCTTCTTGGTAACCTTTTCTTTCGACTGGGCTTCATCTGCGAAGGACAAATCAAACAAAGTTCATTATTGTACAGTTCCAAAAACTTGTAAAACCTGGTCGATTTTCTAGCTGCCAGTGTAATGATGAAGCTGATTGGTCCAACGAGGAGCACACGCTTCTTGCCGAACTTGACACTTGACTGACTCACGACTGCCATCCGGAGCACACGAGGAGCACGTCGCACCTTCCACTCGGCAAACCTGCAAGAATTCTAAATTTGTACTAGTATAATGACCGTTGATTTTCCAGACTCAAACGTGGCAAGGAAGAATTGCACGGGTGACACAAGGCAGGGTGTACAGGTGCTTTCACCGTATCTACAACCATAATCCTAACATGTTGGGACCTTGTACATAGTTATGTACAGGGAACCAACATGTTAGGATACCAGTTTTGGATGAATGGACCAGCAGTGGCAGAGAAGCCAACTACAGCAGTGCCAATATTGTGCCAATCTGAATTAAGACAGGCAACCGCACAACACACACAAATGCCAGCGCACATACCCGCCATGCACAAGCAGCACCAGCAACACTCAGGCTGCATTAGAATGTGGCGAGAAAAATACCAACCTTGCTTGACAGATTCCTCTTCACCGCCACCAACAGCACCCTGAGAAATTGAACAGAAAGCACAAGAAGAGCAGACAGCTGAATGAGCTCACTGAACACTGTCTGCCTGTATCTGCCTCCTCTCTCTCTCTCTCTCTCTCTCTCTCTCTCTCTCTCTCTCTCTCTCTCTCTCTCTCTCTCTCTCTCTCTCTCTCTCTCTTCTCTCTCTCTCTCTGCCTTACCTGCATGCTGACTAGTGCGTGGTACAATCCCTTCTTCTCCATCAGTTGGTTGTGATTGCCGACCTCCTCGACCACACCGTCCTTCAGTGCAATGATCTGATCTGCGTTACGCACGGTCGTCAGGCGATGAGCAATGACGATGGTCGTGCGGCCCTTGCTAGCCTGCGACAGACAAAAAAAACATGTACACATTATAGCGGTGTATAGTGGCAGGCTCTCTCTCTCTCTCTCTCTTTGTTTTTCTCTCTCTCTCTCTCACTCACTCACTCACTCACTCACTCTCTCTCTCTCTCTCTCTCTCTCTCTCTCTCTCACACACACACACACACACACAAACACAGCATTGTAAGGAACTGCCACATCCAAAGCCGACGGGGACTTGAGTCGATGGAGCTGTCACATTCCAACAGTGTTCACACCTAAAATAATATAATACTCTCGTTTGCAACTGCCTCAAACTAATGAATACCTGTTACAATGAGCTCGCGGTGAATCATTCTCTCTTGTAATGCATTCACTACAGTGGAGATTATCCTGAAGTCGCTTACCGCCTCAAGAGATGACTGTACGATGCGTTCACTCTCCGTGTCCAGAGCGCTGGTGGCCTCGTCCAACAGTAGGATCTTGGGGTTGCGGATCAGAGCGCGCGCGATGGCAATGCGCTGCTTCTGGCCGCCGGACATCTGAGCTCCGCGCTCGCCGACCAGTGTCTCATAGCCCTGCAGGAGAGATGGAGGAGGAGAAAACTCAGCCACCGCTCTGAGCAGGCAAGACCCATGACTGACCCCGTGTCGACCCAGGTAAATCTACAACCTCATGCATATACACTCATATCTCTATTATCTGGGCCGGGGGACCTCGGAGTTCCCGGCACTTCGGTCTGACCCCGCATCCAGAGGATGAGTTTTAGTGGAAATATCACGACTCCTTTGCCATTTTTCTCGTGGAAATGGCCATGCCACGTGCCAGATCTCTGACCCTACCCCATTGAAACGTAGGTGATTCGGCTACTTCAAAGTCCTGGGCCGTGCCCGATCCCGGACTGCACGCACAAGAGAGATATCGGTATGAGTGTACACCCAAACACACACGTGAAGCAAATCGAGAGTGGAAAACAGTCCAATTACAAAACAAAGGCGAACGTGACTCCAAGTTCTGCATGCGACGTACATCGGGCAGGGCAGAGATGAAGTTGTGGGCATTGGCTTGCTTGGAAGCAGCGATGACGTCATCACGAGTCACCTCCGTCAAGCTGCCGTAGGCAATGTTCTCGGCGATAGTGGTGGCGAACAGAATGGGCTCCTGGCCGACGACTCCAATGTGACTGCGCAGCCATTGAACATTGAGATCACGTACATCAGTACCGTCCAGTGACACCTGTAGGTGAGAGAAAAAAGGTCACAGCAGAGAGTTTCAAGCCAAAGCCAGCACACACACACACGCACATACACATGCACTTGTTACTTACTGCCAAACTGGTCATATGGGTCTCCACGGGAGAGGTGAGAGAGACTCAAAAGGAATCTTGGAAAGATGACTCAATTGGCTATTGAACCGCCCAACGACCAACACCCCCTGAAATCCCCAAAACTCTGGGTGGACTTGAAAATGATCCCACCTATGGGCTCACCACACCTCAGTAAGTGGGTGAGGACAAGGTGCAGAAAAAGGATTGACGACATTAGGGTATCCGCCCCGGGATCCAACTGCAGCTACCGCTGCCCCAGTGAAAGTAACACTTGCTACTAGTGTGGGTGGCTAAATCAGAGTGGATCTGATATAAGCTTCACTTGCACACACACACACACACACACACACACACACACACACACACACACACACACACACACTCAGCAATGAAACATACAATTGCCGATTACACCCGCTGGCCAACAGGAATCTGGTCCGTCAGTTCATGGACAGGCAGTTTATCACCAGTCGCACACCATGCCGTAGACATGTGACAGAAAAGAAACATTGCAATTTGAGGGGGCGTGGACTCTGAAACAAACTCAACTCACACTCCCGTCCTCGACATCGTAGAAGCGCTGAACAAGCTGAATGCATGTGCTCTTGCCACAGCCGCTGGGACCGACGAGAGCAGTGGTCTGTCCTTTCTTGATCTCCATGTTCAATCCGTCCAGAATCTGCAGAAAACACAACAACAGCAAGAGAAACGGCGGAAGGGTTGTGCACGCTCTGCCCATCCAATAACGGACTAGTGAACTTTGAAAACCCGGTTCAGTTGTAATGCATTCTGCAAACAGGACGACTCCATCTGCAGGATATGCCAACTTGCCCCATTGGGTCATCTGAGAGGTTCCGCCTAACCCACACCAATAGAGGGTATTCGTTTAGTCACGTGACAGTACTTTTCCGACCGTACAAGGTTTTCGCCACCAGCCTGCCACCACTAAATCTTGCCAAATATGGACGATGAAGTCAGCTTGTCTTCTATACCGTAGCGTCTTGTATTACAGCCTATTAAGTATCTTATAATTATAGAAGCCTGTTTTGAATACAAGACTGATTTCAAGACACTCAGTCGGCACAAGCATGTAAGCCTGATTTTAGTGTACCCAGTTCGAATAGAAGCCTAGCCCTGGCATCGGCTTCTGCAGGAATAAGCCCCGCTTTAACACGCGACATTACGGGGGTAATACGGTTAAATCATGGCGTGTCACGTGACCATTAGATACCCTCCATAGTGCAAAGTGCTTACCTTAACGTCTTTTCGCGACGGGTACGTGAAGTGGACGTCCTCAAAGCGAAAGTCGCCCTCCAGCGTCTCTGGCTTCTGGCCGCGGTCGGATGAGGTGTTGATGGTCGGGACCTGGACGTGCACACACCACAATAAAATACAAAATTCAGGATACAGTGAACCAGTACTCGTATATAGTAACCATGGCTACAACATGCAGTTTAACATGTTTTTCGATTTTGACAGCATGTTACAAGGCGAGGACGCGTAGTGCTCGTGACTACAACCATAACCCGGTTGGCAGAGTCCCGGTTGTAGTCAGGAGCACTACGCGTCCTCGCCTTGTAACATGCTGTCAAAATCGAAAAACATGTTAAACTACCAAGCAAGGCTTCAGTGTATACAACATGCAGTTTGTACGTCCTTTTACGTCATACTACAGTCCATTTCAAAAATACTGACGCATGGCGTTTTGGAAATATTTCGAATTTGACACGAGATTGTCGTGGATGAGCTCACACGCAGCGCTGTGAAACACCGAGTCCATTTGTTCTGGGTCAGGAGAGAACTGCCCGCACTGGACAAGGTTTTTTCAGACGTCAAGACGTCAACGACGTTTTGGAAACTTCTGCGCTCCATTGGTTTTCGTTATGACCAGGTGATGCACCAAGAAGATGATGGAGCGTCCGGAGATTGTCGCCCGGAGACATCGTTCCCTCCGACAAATCCGTGAGCTGCGCGACAGTGGCAGGCCCGTCATTTATCTTGATGAGACGTGGGTTAATGTTCACTACAATGAGCCCAGATGCTGGTACATTGAGGAGGGTGGTGCTCCTGATGCTCCTCAGCCTGTCGAAGCACCATCAGGCAAGGGCAAGCGTCTCATCATTCTAAACGCTGGCTGGAAGGGAGGTTTTGTACCGTAGTGTGACCTGGTGTTTGTCGGTAGCACCAAGTCGGCAGACTACCAAGATGAGATGAATGCCAAGCATTTCACAGAGTGGTGGGACCAATGCCTACTGCCCAACCTCCATCATTGTCATAAACAACGCCCCCTACCATACGGTCAAGACGGACGAGTCCAGGAGTCCGACAAGCGCCTCGAGGAAAGCAGAAATGCAGGAGTGGCTGACCCAGAAGGGAGTCGCCTGGCAGCCAGATATGCTCAAAGCCGAGTTGTACTCCCTCATCAAACAGCATAAGCTGGAACCCGTTTATATCTGTGACATGAAGGCTGCAGCTACTGGCTTTGAGGTTGTTAGCTTGCCGCCTTACCAATAAGGAACGAGACCTTCAAAATCGCGGATGTGAAAGCGCTTGTTGCAGAGGATATCGTAGAAGTGACCGGCTTGTAGACAAGGCCTGGATAGCAGATGGCCTCCAATTGAGTTGATCTGGGCCTGGATTAAGGGGCAAGTTGGCATAAGGAATGAGACCTTCAAAATCGCAGATGTGAAAGAGCTTGTTGCAGAGGCTATCTTTGTATGCAGAAGTGACCCCCGAGCAGCGGAGCAACGCAGTTGACCAGTGCGACCGTTGTAGGCAAGGCCTGGATAGCAGATGGCCTCCAAGACACTATGATTGACGAGATTATTATTCAGCTTGACAGTGAAGGTGACTCCAGCAACTCATCCAGTGACGATGGTGAGGTACTCGTTGAGCACGGATAAGACTGGAGTGTGCTGACGTGTGTGTGTGTGTGTGTGTGTGTGTGTATGTGTGTGTGCGTGTGTGTGGTGTGTGTGTATGCTTGTTGGGGTGTGTATGTGAATGTGGGTCTACATTGTATGTTGGTGTGTGTTGGTGTGCATGGCATTGCGTATTCATGCGTATTCATGTGCAGGACTAGTAGTACATGTGAGTTAGAAAGGTCATTTTTATGATACTGTCTCTGATTATTGCTATGCTCTCCGTCCCTGTTTTCTTCTCTTCTCAATTTTCTTCTGTTCCATATTTCTCCATCTCCATCTCACTTTCCTTCTTCTAGTCTTGTAAACTCAGATTATTTTTGCCTTTGCCCTGGCTTTGTGTTTTCATTTGCTGAACATTATTGGAGCTGGACGTTCTCATTTTTCTTCATGAATGCGTGTGTCTGAATCTGTACTTTTTGACGATAATGTTCAGCAAATGAAAACGCAGTACGAGTGCAAAATGTTGTCAGAAATCGTACACTATCCTTGCTGACCACCGCTTGAAAGGAATGGCTGCAAGGTTTTTTTTATTGGGGAAGGTTGTCCGGACATGGTTTGCTGTTGGGGAACAGATCTGCACCATATAATGGTCACTTTAAAGAGAGAGAGAGAGAGAGAGAGAGAGAGAGAGAGAGAGAGAGAGAGAGAGAGAGAGAGAGAGAGAGAGAGAGAGAGAGAGAGAGAGAGAGAGAGAGAGAGAGAGAGAGAGAGAGAGAGGTAGAGGTAGAGAGAGAGAGATGGATGGCTTATGTGTTCGTTCATAACGGAATTTGCATAATGCAAGCGTATACACTGCACTGTACAATGTAGATTCGTAAAACAAATTTCTTTTGAACTGAGTTTGTGCTGATTTTCAGTGAATTTTCAACATAAACTCATTCAAAACCGAAAGTTAAAAATGGGTCTAAAAGAATTACATCTGGCTGATTTCACATACATTTTGGTGCAAACCCCACTGGAAACCAGATGTTCGCAAATTTGTGAGCAAACCTGGCTGAATATTTAACTTTCGTATTAAAGGGAAATTCCATCGGGAAAGTTGATAGGATAAATTGCACCGGTTATCCAAAGGAATCTGTGTAAAGAAAACAACTATTTTATTTCATTTACATGTACTAAGGGGGTGTTCGTTTTTGATCTACAGGTTTTGGTAGAAACTACTTCTTTCGGTAGAGGTGTTCGTTTTTTCTACTCAAAAGCGTAGATTCTACTTTCCTCTACCGGCTCTACCAGGAAAAAGTTGGTAGAAGCCGGTAGAAGTTGATAGAGCTACGGGATTTCCAACAAAATCAAGGAGGTGTACACAACTCCATACAGGAGAAAAACATTTCATGTACATATCGTGAAAAACTACTAAATCCGGTAGAACAGCATTCGTGCAATTACCTCTACCGTCTACCATGGTCTACCTCTATCGGTAGAGTGACTCTACGCTACTCTACCAGGTAGCTAAAAACGAACGCAGCCTAAGGGACCATCCGGGATTATCGATAATTTTCACGAAACGAAACAAGTTTAAAGGAAAAGGACATAATTATGGAAACGAGTTAAGAGTAACTCTCCACCACTGTAACTATTATTGGTGGTTTAGCGCGTGCGCTAAGCCCTGTTAACGAACGTGGAACACCTACCACTCATACTTAGTCTGATGATCATGCATCTGATTATGATGTCATTGCTATACATGCGCATGCGCAGCGCGCGCCACTCTCCCACGCGTGCTTTTCCAAATCTTGCTTTAGAGAGAGAGCAAGAGAAAAGAGAGACTCCTTTGTCACATTTGCTTTCCGACGACTTGACTGTTCACTGGTTTGTCCGTCAGTTGTCAATTTTTGCCATTTTCCTGCCTCAACGGACATGCCAAGAACACGGAGCACCTCACGGGGTGCAAGCGCTGCTGGCACTGACGCCGACGATCCCCCAGCTCCCTACCCGTATCCGCAGCGGGCTGTGAATTCTGCGAATTCTCAAGACCATCGGAGAGCGAGGTCCCGTGTGATCCATGCTCATGGGCACATTTCAGCCAACGCGGACCAGGTGACTTCTCCTGCGCCGTCACAACCAGCTCCTTTCACCCTGAGCGACCTGACTGGTGTTATCCAGCCCCTCCTGGAGCGCGTGGAGCGCTTGGAATCCAACGTCGTCGCTCCTACCACCTCGCCCATTGCCGCCAGCACCAGCATCAGCTCCTCTGCCGCTGGGGCAGCCTTCCCCGATGCACTTGTGACTTGGGTTGCGCGGCCGGCTCTCCAGGACTCCCGGTCATCCCTCCACGGCTACGGGAACGTATCACACGAGGTGAGTTTGTCGAATTTGGGGACTTGTTGCCTGAAGCCATGTCCGGCAGTAGTGATGTCCTGCAGTTGTCGTTGGTGAACGGCAGGTCCGTTGAGCTGGTGCAGAGCTCGTCCACTCCCCAGCCCTCCAAGCGCCGAGTCCATGACTTGGCGACGTGGTTAGAGGCCTTCCCCTTGTTCACCAGAGTCCTGGTCGATGCGTCGCCGGACCAAGCCCCAGATTTGCTGGCGTACCAAGCCACCATCATCGAGGCCAACAACAATTATCTGACCGACGCGTGGCTGACCTATGACCGTCGTTTCCGTGCTGGTCTTGCTGCTATGCCGTACCTGTATTCCTGGCATCAACTGGTCCCTAACCTCTGGCAGTCCTGCTTCACGACCCGCGGGCGCCCTATCTGCTCGCGTTGTTCTCTCGTGCACCCATCTCCAGTCCTGCATTGCCCCTTTCGTGGAGGGCTCCCTCTTGCGCAGCACGCAGGCGGGAGCCAGTCAGCCACCAGCCCAGCTCCTCGTCTCGATGGCCGCCAGATCTGCCGGAATTACAACAACGGCGCCTGCACATACCCGTCCTGCATACGGGCCCATGTCTGTCTGTCATGCCGCGGCAAACACCCAAAGAAGACTTGCACCCGAGCGGCCTCTCAGTCTTCCCAGTGACGTCGTCACTCCAGTCAACGTGCCTCGGCTAACTGCACTGCTAGCTGCTCACCCTGATGCCCTGTTTCGTGATTATGTATGTGCTTTCATGTTTAACGGTTTCTCGGTTGGTCACACCACTCCTCTGGTATCATGCATTCAATCTGTCAATCATCCGTCTAGTCTCTGCAAAAAACAATTTGTCACCCTGTATCTACAGTCTTGTTGCGATGCTGGGGAAACAGCTGGTCCGTTTGCTGAGCCGCCATATCAGTTGTTTCAAACCTCGGGTTTGGGCCTGATCCCAAAATCCAATGGCAAATTTCGCCTCATCCATGACCTATCCTCCCCCACTGGCTGCAGTGTCAATGATGGTATTTCCCGGGAGTCATTCAGCTAGGAGTATGACACTGTCGATTCGGCTATCTCCTATATCATGAAGTTAGGCCGTGGTTGCTACCTGACCAAAGTGGACATTCGAAAGAATCGAAACGCCTTCCGATTATGCCCTGTTGCCCCCTCTGACTGGCACTTGTTGGGTATCTCTTGGGATGGTCGTTACTATTTTGAAAGTATTTTCGGTCAGCTCCGTACATATTTGACAAGTTTGCATCTGCCCTTCACTGGGTTCTGGAAGACACATGCTGCCTTCCCCATCTCATTCATTATCTGGATGACTTCCTGAATGTATCGCCTCCCAGTCCTCCTCTTGCCCAGCACCAGAAGTCACTACTGCTCGACCTGTTTGCATATTTACAGGTCCCAGTTGCACCTGAGAAGGTTGATGCCTTCTTGATGGCCCCTCTACCGTTCTCACCTTTTTGGGCTTAGAGCTGGACACAATGGCTCTGGAGATCCGCCTTCCACCCTCCAAGCTGACTAAGCTATCTACCACCGTGTCGGCCCTCGTCCAATCCGGCCGGGTTCAGAAACGCGACCTCGCCTCCGTATTGGGCAAACTCTCGTTCGCGTCCAGAGCTGTACCAGCTGGTCGCACATTCCTGAGACGCCTGCACGACCTGGACAGAGCAACTCGATCAACACCATTGCACCAATGGCTATGCATTTCGGCATTGGCAATGGCAGACCTGTTGTGGTGGGCAGAGGCCCTGACCATATGGAATGGGAAGTCATTCTTCCTGGTGGATGAGTGGACGCCAGCCCCCGACATGCAACTACAGACTGATGCCAGCGGCACTCACGGTTATGGTGCCTTCTACAACGGTCGGTGGCTGAGAGGAGAGAGCAGCAGCCGAGCCAGATCAGCCAGTCTTGCCAACTCCCGTTGACAGACTCCGTGCTACAGCTAGCAGCACTGGCAATAGCACCATCCTCCCGCCGGACGTATTCTACCGCCGAGACCCGCTACTTCCAGTTCTGCCAAGTGCATGCCTGCAACCCATTGCCAGGCGACGACTTTACTTTGTGCTATTTTGCTGCCAAGTTGTTCAGGACTCTTCAGCCTCGATCTGTCCGTGTCTACATGTCGGCAATCCGCAACCTTCATGTGGAACTTGGCTTTGCTTACCCGTCGGGCCCAACAACTCTCCTCGCTAGTGTCCTGCGGGGCATCGACACAGCGTCATCGTCTGCCAATAACCACTCCACTTCTCAGGGAAATCTGCCGGCATGTTGCCGTTCAACGCATGCGGCACCCTCACGACAAGGCCATGCTAAGGGCAGCTTTTCCCTTGGCGTTTCATGGGTTCTTCCGTTGTGGAGAACTGACTGCTGGCCTGAGGCGATGTGATGTGACGATCAGTACTGACCAGCGGTCGTTATCGGTAAACGTGCGCTCATCTAAGACGGACTCCAACAGCACGGGCCACACAGTATTGGTTGGAGCCAGCACAGACGCACTGATCTGCCCAGTGCAGGCCATGGCAAACTACCTGGCGTTTCGCCCCGGCGGCGACCATCTGTTCACTTACGCTAATGGCCAGCCGCTTACAAGAAATGCAGTGTCCTCTGAACTGCGCAACCTGCTGCCACTCTGTGGGGTCACGGACCCGAGTGCATATGCCAGTCACCCGGATTGGCGCCGCAACATCAGCGGCCATGGCAGGTGTCCCCGAACACATCATCCGCATCATGGGTAGATGGCGCAGTGATGCGGTCCACCGCTACATCCGGGCTGCTACAGCTGACACCCTGCGAGTGTCACGTCAATTAGCTGCAGTTCAAAGTCATCAATGGTAGCTGCGGGTTAGTGACCACATTGCGCCTGAACTGCTTAGCTTTAGCTTTACATTGCTGCTGTCAGTACAGCACAATACACCAATCGTATTTCATTATTACTCTCATGCCATATTGGGGATATTGGGAACGGGCAGTCTATCTCCGCAGCTGGCTCATTTCAATCACTACCGGTCGCAGCTCCTGCCCACGGCAGGCCGACCGTCTCTCGTTCACACTCTGTGTGCTCCAGGTCACAGCTCCTGCGCAGAGCAGGCCGACCTGTCTGTCTCTCTCTCTCACACACACTCTGTGTGCTCCAGGTCACAGCTCCTGCGCAGAGCAGGCCGACCTGTCTGTCTCTCACTCTCACACACACTATGTGTGCACCGGGTCACAGCTCCTGCGCAGAGCAGGCCGACCTGTCTGTCTCTCTCTCTCACACACACTATGTGTGCACCGGGTCACAGCTCCTGCGCAGAGCAGGCCGACCTGTCTTTCTCATGCACGCCAGCTGCTCCGCCCAATATCCCTGATATGCCAACCAGAAAACAATGTGTTCTGAGCCGGGTGCATGCCTGTATGTGGAGAGTGCGTTAATGGTGGTTTAGCGCGTGCGCTAAGCCCTGTTAACGAACGTGGAACACCTACCACTCATACTTAGTCTGATGATCATGCATCTGATTATGATGTCATTGCTATACATGCGCATGCGCAGCGCGCGCCACTCTCCCACGCGTGCTTTTCCAAATCTTGCTTTAGAGAGAGAGCAAGAGAAAAGAGAGACTCCTTTGTCACATTTGCTTTCCGACGACTTGACTGTTCACTGGTTTGTCCGTCAGTTGTCAATTTTCCCCTTCCCTCCCAACCCCATTCGACTGGGGATCACTATCTCTCCGTCACTGTCACCATAATTTCCTCAATAACAGTGTCAGTACAACTCTTGTCAATATACTTATATCGGGTGAGGGCAGTCTATCTCCGCAGCTGGCTCATTTCAATCACTACCGGTCGCAGCTCCTGCCCACGGCAGGCCGACCGTCTCTCGTTCACACTCTGTGTGCTCCAGGTCACAGCTCCTGCGCAGAGCAGGCCGACCTGTCTGTCTCTCTCTCTCACACACACTCTGTGTGCTCCAGGTCACAGCTCCTGCGCAGAGCAGGCCGACCTGTCTGTCTCTCACTCTCACACACACTATGTGTGCACCGGGTCACAGCTCCTGCGCAGAGCAGGCCGACCTGTCTGTCTCTCTCTCTCACACACACTATGTGTGCACCGGGTCACAGCTCCTGCGCAGAGCAGGCCGACCTGTCTTTCTCATGCACGCCAGCTGCTCCGCCCAATATCCCTGATATGCCAACCAGAAAACAATGTGTTCTGAGCCGGGTGCATGCCTGTATGTGGAGAGTGCGTTAAACAGTCAGAAAGTGCAACAACTAGGCACAAAACTGACAGAGTACTGAGACATTCGACGTCCTGACACCTAGCTTCAACCGAGTTTCAAATTGCACACCTGATGAGCCGTCACGAACCATACGGCGAAACGTACGTCGTGTGAAACAACTTGTTTTGTAGTCAACTAGTCCATCACAATTTCATGCATGAGGAGTACTGTAGGAGTTTAGACTTCGGCTTGTACAATTCGTTCTCGCAAAGCTTCCCCCTTCTTAACTTATCTTTGATATTTTTGACCCACCCAAGTTGGGTGGTGTGCTGCTTTGCTGCTTCGAATTGTAGTTAGACCGCTTTGTCAAATCGCCTACTGGTCTCGTCATCGTCCAGTGACAATCGACATTCTTTGTTCCGTTGAGACTGTAGCTTGTGCTCGTTTTCGTTTCGCTTGCCTTCCCCTCTTTGGTCTTTCCATAACCTTGAACCTTCCAAGTTGGAAGGCTGTCGGTTAGCGCTACGGAGATGTGTTGAAGCTAGGTGTCAGGACGTCGAATGTCTCAGTACTCTGTCAGTTTTGTGCCTAGTTGTTGCACTTTCTGACTGTATAATAGTTACAGTGGTGGAGAGTTACTCTTAACTCGTTTCCATAATTATGTCCTTTTCCTTTCTACTTTTATTATTGGCTCAATACCCGAGAAACAAGTTTAGTTCCCTCCCCATCCCCACCCCCCCCCCCCCCCCCCCCTGAACGAAAAACATAATGATGTGACAGCTAGAATGGATTGATGTTTCAGCTATCAATATTTTTCATAAGGAAACTCTCCTCGCCCCACTCACCCATAAACGAAACTTTTTTTTCGTTTTGTGTAAAAGATTGACAAATATGGGAAAATATGTAAATTAAAAGGTTAGGGTGCCAGTTTCCAATGAATGTACAATAGTGCAAATTATACCACACAACTGTCAGAGAGCGGGTTCACAAATAGAACAAGGCAAGCAACTTCTAAAACTCTACAACTTTGTACCACTATTGGTAAAAAAACCCTTAAAACTCAGTAAATGCAATCTAGTAGAGTACCGGCATGTCACATAGCAATTGAAACACTGCACAGGTGGGCATGATCTCTTACACTGTCAATGATGTTGTAGACAGCAACTGCAGCACCACGTGCTTCGGCATTAGCCTGCATGCTGGGAGCAGCGTGACCCAGAGCAAAGCAAGCGATGACGACGTTGAAGAAAGTCTATCAAGGGAGACACATGCACAGACATGCACAGACACGCACAGACATGCACACAGACAGACACACACACACACACACACACACACACACACCTCAGACCTGCCCATCGCGGAAGCGATGATAGCGAACAGCTATGTTAGACATGTCAACTGTCATGAAAGAGCATGGCATTATTCACACACACACACACACACACGCACACGCACACATACACGCACACGCACACACACACACACCAAACTGGTCACGTGGGTCTCCCCGGGAGAGGGGAGAGAGACTCAAAAAGAATCTTGGAAAGATGACTCAATTGGCTATTGAACCGCCCAACGGCCGACACCCCCTGAAATCCCCCAAACTCTGGGTGGACTTGAAAATGATCCCACTTATGGGCTCACCACACCTCAGTAAGTGGGTGAGGACAAGGTGCAGAAAAAGGATTGACACACACACACGCACACACACACACACACGCACACACACACACACGCACACACGTGCATGCATCCGTACCGTCACCATGTCGCCTGGCTCCATGTCGCCGTTCCATACAAATCGTGTGCCGGTGTAGAAAGCCAGCCCGTAGGTAGCAAACATCATCAGGTACACAACGGAAAAGCCAAAACCAGTGACGAATCCCTTGCGCACGCCAAACTTACGTGCTCCTTCCAGCTCCATCTCGTATCTAACCGTAAAGAAAGGAAACAAGCAGCACAGCTTACTTCCACATGTCATGAGCTAAACACACACGATAAACAGTGCGAAGATATTCACTCAGCAAATTGTGCAGCCTAAAATCAAACTGTCACCAGTTGTAGTCTTCGGGATGCTGAGTCGAATGGTCTTGGTCCGAGGAATCGCAAACAGCGGTGCCCTGCCTCGAGACCGGCCTTGCACTGGTGTGGAGTGTACGCACGACATCAGAAGATCCGACTACTCTCCGCCAAGACCCTGCACACACTGGGGATTATGTACCCGCGCCCAAAGACGAGTAACTGTCCACCACTGTAACTAGATACTATACCGTCAGAAAGTGCAACAACTAGGCATACAACTGACAGAGTACTGAGACATTTCATGACCTGACACCTAGCTTCAACACAAAATGAAATGTGACATTCATTGCCAGATAAGTGATTCAATCAAAAGGCTAAACAAGAGCAAGCAGAACATCAACATCTGCAAACCTGATCTTTCCAGTGACTGATGCCCAAAACAGGCAATAGTTGTAAGTAGTAAACTCTGAACCAGGCCATAGCAAAGTGACTGAAGACCACCCCCCCCCCCCCCCCCCATTTTCGTGTAGAATATGACGTTGCACAAGACACGGCACTCTAAGATACAGCAAGAGAAGTAGAACGGCGCAGTGGGTAGGGGTTTGGTGGGGTAACATGTTCAGATATTTCTATCCGGTTAGCATGGGCACGAAGGCGGGCTTTTTACATGCACCGTTGCGAAAACACCGTACTCCAACTACCCGAGCGGGTGTTTAGGAGCAAACTGCTACACGACTACCCACTCTAACCACGGGATGGCACGGGTACCCTACTACCCGATGACACCCAGGGGCGTCGCACACGGTACGGTCACTACGGTATTGACCGTACCACGTTTTGCCCCAGATACCCCGTGAATCAACAAAATACACTGATCTGGGATCTAAAATTCCAAAATTTTCGGCTCAGCCACCACTCCCCCACGAGTAAATTGTACTTCTGATGGCTTACCGTACCACACTAAAATACCTTCCGACGCCCCTGCACCCTTAAAGAGAAGCAAATAAGACTTAGCAGTGCCCACCTCTCAGCTTCCTGGTTCTCACCGCCGAATGCGACAACCGTTCGCACGGATGACAACACTTCGCCGGCAACTGCACCCGCCTTGGCGTACGCGTCTTGCTCTTGTGTGCCGATCGAGGAGACAAGCTGACGAAAAAAAGAAGAGTGAGAAAGAAGGAGCAAAATACTAGTAAGGCCACAATCTCCTGAAACGTACTGAAACGAAGCCATGGCCGGTCAACACCCTTCCATTTAGGGTTCATTTGATGGGTGCGATCCGGAACAGGATTGAACAGCTGGTGCACAGAGAGCAGCCTCATCACCACGCCAATCAAACGGTACTCCGGAAACAGAATGCCGGTACACTCTTTTTTCTTCGTGAAAAGTACTCCGAGCGTGGTGCCATTGGTCACTGTTTGTACTACAAGCCACATCGTACGGTGCAAAGTGCATGCCAACTGCAACAGAATAACGGATATGCGTGGTCCGTTTGGACAAAATCGATGCTCCCGCCAGGTTTGACACTGACATTCTAAAGCTACTCTGGTTATAAGCAGAACATGTTCTGGCCGATCCAATCCAGGTGTAGCTTCAACCAGACATGCTGTTCTGGCAGATTCTGCTCCAGGTTGTGCCAAGCAAGCACATCCGTATAGTGGTCGTAGCCATCGGACGACATCAGACGCTCATCTATTCCACCGCATACCTGTTGACATTCAGTGTAGCCCGGGATGTGCTCCGGTGTGGGCTAGATTTAATGACTGTCCTCGGGACAAGAAAGAAAAGCGTAGCATTTATCTGCAAACAGACAGTACCGAGTCTGAACTGCACCGCATTACCTTAGAAACAAAGATGCCCGATGCCACCAGGAAAGGTCCGCCGCCAAACAGAACCACCAGCGTCAGCTTCCAGCCTTTCACAAAGCCGATGATGAGACCGGCGACGTGAGTGGCGATCCACTGGAAGAAGAGGCCGTTCTTGTCGCCAATACCGCCATACACCTTCACCAGATCGCTGCAGCGGTGAAGAGTGCCAAGACAAACAGACGGGCAGGCATGTCAGGATAAACGCTCAGCCCAGGGAACCACCCAGAGCTACTTAATGCATGCAGCGACTCCGGCCACCTTACCCCACACACAGAGGCACTGTGAATTTTCGGGCCTGGCCTGTCATCAGGGTACAAATCAGTGAAGTGGAGAGTCAGAATACAACTAAGTCAAGCCAATTAGATAGCTGGTGTGGATTGCGCAGATGCATGTACCACATTGAAGAATTGGAGACGCTTCCAATTTGTTCTAGAGATGCCAGTTAGACCATGTAAATATTCGGAGACAAGCAACTCGACGATCCCCCAGCCTAACAAGGTTCAAAAGCTAGCTGTCCAGAGATCAAGTAGACACAGAGACAGAGGCCTCTACTGGCGACTTACTCAGACATTCGAGAAGACAGCTCTCCAGTCTTGTGCGTGTCGAACCAGCTCAGGTCTTGGTTGAGAATGGAGGCGAAAAAGTTCTTGCGAATGCGTCTCGTAAGCCTCTCGCCAACCGTTGCCCAAGCAACAATCTGTAGATGGACACACCAGGGCAAGAATAGAAGATCATTTCAGTGAAACTGAGTAAAGTTTCGATCCACACAGCCTCCACTATATGGCACATGCGTACACACCGGGCATAGCAATACACAGTGCAACATAATACAGTTACTGGTAGGCCTTTTTTTGCCGGGCTTTGACTGATTTGACTGAAAATGGACTCTGCAGCGTTTTCCAGTGTTGCCATGACTACCATGGCTGCAGCGGCAAAAAGCTGCGGAAAATGCTGCTGAGCAAAACCCGAACAGACGGTTACAGACTTGTCCAGCCTCCTGGCCACCCAAAGTCTGGACACCCCAGTACCTTCTAAAGACATTCTATATTATTCTCTTCTTTTTTTGCTGAACATACCTTAACGCACGCGAAGTGATGCACCGAAGTAGGCATGAAGCTGCCAAGGCAGCCAGCAAAATGTGTTATCACTGATAAAAGACTGCCCGTGTGCACGGTGGCTAACAGAGCAGCAAGAACAATCATTAGTCAGTCGATATGTACTGGTATACTGACTGCCATCAAGAGTACATAACCCCCACAGAGTGTGCAACTCCCACATGCCCTGCTGTCCCGACAGAATTTCAAGTTGACGTCATTTTTTGTGACGCAATGCTCCTTGCACCAGTGATTTACTGTTAATTACAACACGTGTACGGGTGTCAACGCATCACACGTTTTTCTTTGCACAGGATCAGATCGGCTTCGGTCAACCACAGGTTCCGGATTCGTCTGATAATCCGTGTACAATGCACATTGCATCATCAAAATGACGTCAACTTGAAATTCTGTCGGGACAGCACCCATAGTCGAGTTGCACACTCTGGGGGGTTATGTACTCTTGCTGCCATTGATTGGCAACGGCAAGAGTACATGATTGTACTCTTAGTAACAGTAAGTGGACTGAGGTCATTATGTTACATTACCAACACAAGCAGTACAATCTTACATGCTGTCTAGTGCACAAAATACAAACTAATATCACAGCCGCATCAGCGAACAAAAAAAGTGGAAAGTGGGACAAAGCGTAGATATTTCATGAAATCTGGACAAAAGTCGTCCGCATGAGGACCTCGTCACAGGACATGTTCTCTCAAATCTGGACTGTCCGGACGAGGTCGGGACGGTTGGACAGTCTGCAGCTAGCATTTCCCGCTGCCCGGCACATTCTCAATGTCAAATTGCGCCACTGTCAGCGCCAGAAATGCATGACTGCCGAAAAGCCCGAACAAGTTGGGAAAAACCGCTGCAGCGCAAGTGCAATGTGACCGGTAGGGAAATATAAAATATTTGCCGCTGTTTTCTATTTTCCGCAGTCGCGGAAAACGCTGATTTTTGTCTCAGTGTGACCGGGGCCTTAGTGCGTATTCTGATAAGACGTAGTCTTTCTTAGTACGAACATTGCCTGGATCACAGGTGCATTGATCCAGACTGAATTATGCCGGGGACAAAGCAAGACTCACATAAGCATTTTTTCCGTTGCGATGAGCGGTGCGACGGCCACGAAACCGGGAAAACCCCAAATCGCATCCATCTCGCAGCTCACGCAACTGCCGCAACTGGGCCATTTCAGAAATTGAGCTTGGCTCAGCTTTCGCGATTCTGTGTACGCCGTTGACCTTTTCTGCAGCAAAATTGCACAAAGGTTCAAGAGTTGCTTGTAGATTTGTACAAGGTGTACCAAGCCGCGCGATTACCATGGTGACATGCTCACCAGCATTGAGCTTCGTGCCAAATCAGCAAGGCGACTTCGCATCGCTGACTTCTTCCGTGAATGGCTGTTGTGAACCCTCCGGTTCTCTAAAGTATCAGGAACGAACGACCCCACACGGCACGAGGACAACTATTTAATCTCAACAGTATATTTCACTTCCATCGACTAACAACAATGAACAATGAATGAACAACTGAAACAACTGAATGAACTGAATGAACAACTGAATGAACTGAACAACTAACACTAAAACCACCAGGTAGTTATAGCGTGAAAATGACAGCGTATATGAGAAAAGCATACACATACAACATACAACTACAGCGCACACAGCAAACCGCACATAGCGCATGTAGCGTATACTACGTCGTAAACATCAGCGGTACGGCGGAGTCGGGATACAGGTGCATTGAAACGAACACAATGTCACAAGCGAGAAGGCCTTTCACTCTCGAGAACTTTGTCGTTTCACAACAATGGCATTTCGCTAGTTCGCATCGCACGCCGCAGATCTCGTTGCATCACCCATCGCATCGCAAAAGCTTAAGCAGGTAAAATTGTTAGTGTTTTCTGAATCTGGACCAATTCACGATGAAATTTTTAATATGACTAGTTCTGTACTGTATATGCAAAATTTCGATTGGCAAGGCAAGATTTTAGTGAAAACACTCCTTTCACTAAATCGCTAAAACATCACCGGTGCTAAAATTAGCTGTTTTACAGTGGCTGCGTTCGATTATGCACTTGAATCGATTCATGAATCCATTCGCATGGATTCAAGTCGTTCGATTTTCACATCATGAGCACTGGAATCGATTCGGAATCCATTCACCCTATTCACATGGTGTGATGTGAATGGCGCGAATCGATTCATGAATCGATCCGTGAATCGATTCGCGGGCATAACCGAACGCACTCACTGCGTTGTACATCTCAAGCTGTATGGTTCCATATGCTGAAAGTTCAATGTACCTGTATATAGGTGACAGCGAGGACACCGGCCGCCAGTGCACAGTAGATGATAGCCAGGTCGCCCATCTTCTCAACCAGGCCATCGAGAGGGTTGACCGCAGTGGCATTATTGGTGGCATTGGTGACATTGGTCCCGTTGGGCACGAACGGCGGTGCCGTGTTGGAAAGCAGCGAGATCGTGTCGCCGAAGGTCAACATCATCGCCGGCAAGAAGACACCGTGAGCGGCGCCGAAGAAGCAACCCAAGAAGATCATGATGCGATCAAACTTGTCCGCGTACTGAAACTGCACCGAGTTAGAACAGAGAAGGACACAGCAAACTGGGTCAACAACACGTGGCTTGGACTGTGACTGGAACTCAATCTCTCGGTACTTCGACATGGTTGAGTGACGGTGTAAATACCCTGTGTTTCTGGTTCCCTTGAGGACTAGTACTTGGTATTATGATAGTAGCACCCTGAGTTACAACAAAAAGCCCTACTTTCCCTTCTGTACACATCTTGTGATAGTAGAGCTATAAACTTACGAGGCGTGACGTGGACACAAGCTCGGGCTTGCCCTCCTCCTGATCGACCAGTGGAGCGGCTTCATCTCCATCTGCATCTCCGTCGCTGCACATGCACATGTACACACACACACACACACACACACACACACACACACACGCACACAACACACGAAATACAGCATACAAGTTCATGAGGCTGCTCCGTGAACAGCAAAGGTCAAACTGACATGCTCAGCAGACCAATCAATCCATGCTCACCAAGGAATATCCACAGCCTACTGTATTTTCAGGAGTATAAGCCGCACTTTAAACACTTACACTAGTAAATTAGTTCGCCCAAAAAAGTCAGTGCAGCTTCTACCTCCATGATCAAATTAACGGTGATAAATAGGATAGATGTCTGTACTGTAAAACGGGTAACTATTGCTACGTAAAAATGTTTGCGAATTTCGCGAGAGGCCCCGAATCGCAAACTTTGAACAACGAAACTCGCGCCATGTAAAAGTTCAGTGCAAGGACTGACTCGACTGTGTAGAACGACTCGCAAACATAAAACAGCGCAAACCAGTCTCAATTTGTAAAACGCAAACATTTATTGTCGCAAACGTTACCCGTTTTACAGTATTTCATGACAAAAATAGAAGGTGCGGATTATACTCCAGAAAATACGGTGCTGTGTTTATAGTCAACATGAATGGAATGTGTGTCAATGAGGTGATCGTCAACTAGACGGTCACCTCATTGACACGCACTTGGTGACACACCAGACCAGAGCTTTACAGCACACAAAGAAGATAGGAACGGCATCCAGAGTGACTTCATATCTTTGTCATGTGATCTTTGTACATGTATTTGTGCTCGGCAACTACTGTAAATATACAAAATTTCGGCGCTGCAAAATTTCGGCACTTCACGATTTTTGACATTTCGGCGGCGATTTATTTTCGGCGTGGGGTAGAGGGCATGGTATAGTGCGACAGATGCTGTGAAAAATTTCATCGGCGTTTTAATTTAGGCGTTTTGGGTCGGTGCCGAATATAGCCGAAATTAAATAGCTGCCGAAAATTTGTATATTTACAGTACTGTAAGACATGTATATATAACGAGGAAGCAAATCTAACGTTTTAACGGATGACATTTCTTCGTTATAATAAGATCCGTTCAGGCCGTACTGCTTCATATATGCTGTGTGTGGATATGGCAGAATACTGCAAGATCGTTAACATAATTATCTTCTCGTTTACCTATGAATTTTGGACAATCGTTAAATTTGCGACTCGTTATAATAACATGTCTTACAGTATACAGCCATCAGCGTGCTTCATTGTAGAGACACAGATAGTGTAGATGGAAGGTCAATGGTCAAAACAAGGTCAATGGTCGAATGCCATATAAGGAAGGTTCTGATGTATAGCACCTTGGGTCAACGGTTATGTGCCATGTATGGATCGATGCTATGAGGCTCAGGCTGCGCACGCGTGCGCGCGCGTCGAGCATGCATCGTTCGTCCCAGTTGTCCTCGGCTGCACCGCGGTACCGGTGGACAAGGCAAGGCAGCTGGTGCCCTCTACCGTAGGATTGTTGCCCTCACATCAGAGAAATCCGGAGAGCTGCTCCCATCCACGGTTTGCCTAGTCCGTGCGACGCTGGGCTCTGCCCCCGTCCGGTCAACAGCAGCAGGCATACAGTTACAGTACGTGGCCATTGATACCCAGCTGCCATTGTCCAAAACAGATCAGCTGACCTGGTTGTTGTGGAGTGCGAGCTGGCTTGAAATGATTGGGAGCCAAGTTGTTTTTAAAACATGCGTGCCATTTCCGTGTGTTTCTAATTTGTTTAATCCAACTTTTCGCACTCACTTTGCGTACTTTCTCTCTTCTCCTTTACTAATGTTTCTAGCACATACATGTAGACAAAATAGGACATCCCCCGGATAGGCGTGAGCCTTTGGGTAATCCTGAAATGAGGGTTACTTTACAAGGTTCGAACATGCACGTGATACCTGATTACATGTCAGGTATTCTTTGCAGTCTTGCAACTCTCGGTTGCTTTTTTTCCCCCTAAGGTTTATAAGGTTACAATAATGATAAAAAGGAAAGACTTCCAAATCATCAGCATTTCTGAATTGCCAGCATGGCACATTTACGCTAGCCAACCACCCAACAACAATTACAAGATCACCTACTTACCCTCCTCCCGACTTGGGTTCCTCGTCGGACAGGTCAGAGACTGAACGCTTACTCGACGTGGTTGACCCATGACTGGGGTTTGGGCTGGAAGGGATTTTCAGGGCATCTCCACATGGTGGAGCAATAGTATCCAACGGCTGCTTCTGGGGCTCTTCGACTTCATCCTTCTTCTCCTCCTGCACGAGTGGTGCTTCGTCCACTACTACAGGGTCCGGCTTCTCAGGCTCTAAATCGTCCACCGAATCCTGAGTGCTAGAAGCTGTGTCCTGCCTCAGAGCACCATTCTCGTAGGCTATCTGGGCTATACCAGGTTTACTGGGGGAACTGGGTTGAGAGGGCACCGGGTCAACGGGCACGATTTTGTCCTCGCCAGCATCTGCCATCTCTTTTTCGGGAGGGCAACTCCTCGCGAGTAATCGCCGCACCCTGCTGGCAAAGGCAAGCTTCCGTGTGCCGAAAAAACACACACGAAAGAAGAAACCACAATGTTTCTACGGCCAGTCAGGCCAAATAAACACTCAAACGAACGTCCTACTGAAAGCAAAACTTTATACAGCTGTAGCCGCCTTTTCGGCATTCTTTGAGTTTTCCTCGGGGTCGATTTAATTGATGACATAATCTTAACGTGGAATGTACGCATTTACACCTCCACCGTACGGGCCACGGGTCCGCGATATAGCAAGAGTACATAACCCCCATATGTACTCTTGGACATACACAAAGTCTTCGAGGCATCTGCGCATGCGCGATTTGCATGTGTGGTCACTACGTCACAACACGTGCAAGTGCAGTAGTGCCAGTACGGTAGAACTGGCGGATTTGTGAAGTCCGGGACTCCGGGTCCGGATCCGCGGAATGGACGGACATAATACAGCTGACCTTCTGAACTGCTACACGCGTGTGTCGAATTCCGTATATACATTACCCATATAAAAACCGCTCTGTGAGCGGTTCTGAAAAACCTCTACTGGTGCAGCCCCGTCGTAAAAGTAAGAAATTAGAACTGGCGCATTGTCCTCCCAAATGTGAACTGATCCACCTAAATCGCGATTGACGGGACCCGAACGCACCAGTAGCACGAGGTTCCTACCTGTGGATGCAGCTGAGCTGGGGACGCTGGTCCATAGCCAAAGCCAAAGCGGCAAAGGTGGGCTTCGGGGTAGATGAGTGTTGTATGGTAACTTGATCAGCGCCGACGCCGGCTGTGATCCTGTTCCCTCCCGACCTCGTGCTACTGGTGCGTTCGGGTCCCGTCAATCGCGATTTAGGTGGATCAGTTCACATTTGGGAGGACAATGCGCCAGTTCTAATTTCTTACTTTTACGACGGGGCTGCACCAGTAGAGGTTTTTCAGAACCGCTCACAGAGCGGTTTTTATATGGGTAATTTCAGTTCTTTTTCTGTTCCCTCCCCCACCCTAGCCCAGCTCCGAAGATAAACATGGTGAGCACGCGCGCGATGCACTGTATGTAGCCATGCGACTGCAGTAGCACACTGATACATTCCAGCCCTCCCCACCTCGCTACCCCGCACACAGACACCTTGTGACAAACACGCACATGCACATGGCACACACACACACATGGGCGCGCACACACATACATACACACACACGACCCAAACAGGAAATTCTTGATTGTATAATGCCATGCAAAGCAGTGGCCACCATACTTCAGGAAGTCAGTTGTGAAACAAAAATAATTCAACTACAATGTGTAGGTAAGCTAGCGGCCAAAGCACAACATTGCAAACCGTGATGATATTTGCCTAAGGATTGCAGTTTGCAGACCACACCATGGAAGCAGTGAATACAGAATTATTGTAATGTCATACAAAGACAAGCAAAGAAGTGGCCACCACACACCAGAAACTTGCAGAAAGTCACATATCCAACAGATAGAGAAGTGAACAGCATCTGGTACAGCCCACACAAAACCAAGCTGACCTGATACTCGTCCGAAGATCGTAAGTGGCAGATCCTTTTCAACGATAGCATGCAGGTGTACGTTACACGCATGGACAAAATCTGACCGTGTCACCGGCATACATTGTCATCACATGCATACCCCACAGGTTACACACATGCACAGTAGAAGCACAATAAAAGCAATGGAAAAATATGAAGGGGTTGCTGAAGCATCTTCACACTTCAATTTCAGACTTCGATGTGGTCGTCACGGGGTGATATACCTGCAAGATACAAGTGATACAGGAAGAAAGCATAAGGTCGTGAGGTAGGCTATGAGACACCACAAATGGGTCACCTACATGTATGTTCAGGGCTGGTGTACACACACACGCAGAATTATCATAATCGAGAATTTCCCAAACTACAGAAGAGCAATGAAATCCATTTGCATGCACAGGAGCAATTTTGCAGTATGATGCGCAGCTCGGGAATACACCTGTTGGCAATGGATTACATTCCCATTGGAATTCCCATTCACGTGGGATTCACAGAAGCAATTTGGCAGTGTACTGCGCAATGCGACACGACCTGCGATTCTGCGTGCGATGCGAACTCGCACAAAATACCATTCACAGAATCAGGACAAGACGTCAGCGATGCAACAGCGCCTTGCTGACGTGCCTCAAGTCAAAGCTCAATGAGAATGCGTTTGTCGGTTACAACTGGTACAAATGTACAAGCAATTTCTGAAAATGCTCCTGTGAATCCTGCTTTAAGCAGTGCAGGAATGTCCCTCCTCCGCTCCCCCCCCCCCTCCACACCCTCATGGAACTTGACAAGGAAGGGTGGTCTTCGCGGTTCCCAACATCTATTTGCAGTTTCTGGTCTCCACTATGTCTTTTCAATGGGGATTTGTACGTACCATAAAAGCAAGCCTAAAAAATGAACAGCACATTTGCCGTTCCCCCACTGGGGAGGATGCGTTCCACAGCTATCCTGACAAGATATTCCGAGAAGCGGTGCTGAGTGCAATGCATTGTGAAACTGAAAAAGCTGACCAAGCCGCGGCACATAACGTCTAAACTTCAATTGTAGTTCGCCAGCTGACTACTTTCAAACTCCATGTAGGTTGGAGTACAGCTGGCTTAGAAGTTGACAACAACGGCGCACGCACATAAGCAATGGCCACCTTACCTGTACTGTAGCAGTACTTCCGAGTTCCCGTATGGGAGTTCCCTCACTGTGTGTGCAATAGCAGCCTCATCGGACCAGTTCAATGCGACGCGGACAGTCCGACACTGAGGAGGACATTGAAGAAGTGAGAGACAGGAAGAATGGTTGATTTACAATTCAACTAGCAAGGCTGCACACCCACGAAGTTCCACTCACCATTGTGCCGTCCTTCTTGGAATGCAGAAATAACGCTTCCTCTCGAGAACGCAGCCTGTGACAGAGAAAAAGGAAGGAGCATCGCCATCGGCATTGGTCCTCTGCTATCACCGATTGCCGAGTTGCACAGTTCACTCTAACAAGACTGAGGATGTTCAAGAACTCCCCATCCATACCATTATTGGAGTAAGAGGAAAGGTCAGATTGCCTAGTTCCTAGGGCCTAGCATTCCTGGATGCCAGGATGTGCTGCCCCCGCCGCCGCCCCCCCCCCCCCCCCGAGAAAAAGGAAGGAGCATCGCCATCGGCATTGGTCCTCTGCTATCACCGATTGCCGAGTTGCACAGTTCACTCTAACAAGACTGAGGATGTTCAAGAACTCCCCATCCATACCATTATTGGAGTAAGAGGAAAGGTCAGATTGCCTAGTTCCTAGGGCCTAGCATTCCTGGATGCCAGGATGTGCTGCCCCCGCCGCCGCCCCCCCCCCCCTTCTACTGCCTGGAAAGGGCAACATATGTGACAGCGTTCACCAGTACAGTCGGAGGAGAACATGGGAGAAGGCAAAAAAGGGCAACACACATGAATCCCTTATAAACAAGCAGTGGCAACTCTAGCACCAGCAATGTTGGACTTACATCCCAGCCATTGCCGCCGGATTCAGCGGCTTCTTCTTCTTCGTCTCCCATCTTGGAAGCACTCCTTACCGTAAGTTCAGTCCTGGGATCGGGAGTACAGTCGGAGGAGGACGTCGGAAAAGGCAAAAAGGCAACACACATGATTCCCTTATAAGCAAGCAGTGGCAACTCTGGCACCAGCAATGTTGGACTTACATCCCAGCCATTGCCGCCGGATTCCCACGCTTCCTCTTCGTCGTCTTCCAGTTCCCAGGTTCCATCTCGCAAATACTCCTTCCCGTAAGTAAGTGCAGTCCTGGCCTGGGTGGATGCGCAGTACATTGACGATGGCGGAGATGGAGCAGGTCAGAGAGCCCTATAGGGGTCCCAAGAGCAGATTGTGGCCAAATTCGGGACGATGCCGGACGCCAGTCAGTATGAAGTAGCGAATTGCGGACCGCCACGTAGATTGGGGTCGCGGGGTCATAATCCACGGGCACTACTCGTACGTTGCTCCAAAAAAGGGCACTGCACTGTTCCACAGTTGCTGTTAGCGGTCGCCAAAGGCACTTGGTAGGCCGGTAATTGGGTCACGTGTCAACAAAGTGTCAACAACGTGTCAACAACGTGTCGACCACGTGTCTTTAGCGGTACACTAATTTTGGTGTCCCCAAACTGAAAACATCGAGCACCAGTATGGAAAGGCTTTAGACAGAAAGCCTTTCCAATATAGTAGTAGAGCCTCTCCTGACCTGAGCCCTGACCGGTGAAGTACAGGTTCCTGCACGAGTACGAGGGCAGTACCGCGGAATCCAGCCCGCGCCGCGATAGCGGCAAGGGCTGGATGAACAGCGGTACTGGCCGAGTATGAGTGACCATGGTGACTGGAACGTGTTTCCCGTGCACGCGTGGTGCACCCAAGCCAAATAAAGAGATACGTACATGCATGACAGACACACCTGCATTGTGGTTTGTGATTGTTTTCTGGTACAGTACAGTTTTTGTAGTAGTCCATACTGGACCATGGTGCTTTTTTTTCTCGTGGCCCGTCGTCATGCGCGCGTCAAGTGACGACGGGCAGTAGAATCCGTTCCTGCCCGTCGTCACTTGACGACGGGCAGTGGATCCAGTTCCATCACCTTTGTCTTTGACTGAGTTTGAGCAGGCAGGACCGCGCTTTCCAGCCCGCGCTGTTTGATCTGTCATTGGTCAACTCCAAGGCGACGATCACGGGACATACGGGAATGACCCCTCTTTCTGACGAGTCAACACTACAGGTCAATGCGAGCTGATGCCTGTGAAGAAGAGGTTGGTGCGACTTCAGCGATACTTCAGCGATACTTGGGGTGTGTGTTTTTTGTACATGGGAGCTAGCGCTTTCCTGCCGGCTTGAATTCTCACTTGACTGACTCACGCCTGACTGCCATCCAGAGCACACGAGAAGTCCATCGAACCGTCCACTTGGCAAACCTGCAAGAAAGCACCACTCCCTGCTCAATAGACAATAAACTGTGTTTCGAGGAATTCACCCCTCATCAGTTGTATTGAGCCTGAGTAGGCTGAGCAAGATCGTGCCCGAAGAGCTCCACTTATAATAGACTAGTGCTCTCTA